CCGCGACCCAGAAGGATAGGCGGTTTAGATGATGGATGGATGGATGGTCCATAAACCACATGTTATGAGTGGACCGTAGGGGGAAAAAATTAAATACAAACGCAAATGTAGAATAGAGGCCCTTTAAAAATCACATTCTGCCAAGGCTTAGGCTTAATCTGGGTCTGGGAAACTAGCTCTATGAGCCAAAGGTGTCAAGAAGCCCCTTCTAATTAGTGAATTAAACTACTTAAACGTGCATCCAGTGGTGACAGGTGATACGATGCACACACAGCATCCACAGAAAGCAGTAGCAGCAGAATGGTAGATGCTTAAGGTCATCATGTGCAATGTCTAAATCAAACCATAAGGAGATCCTTAACTGACCCTGCACTTCCTCATTTATTGGCCTGAGGAGTGCTGTAATTTTCCCATCTGCCTCCATATTAGCCTCAGTTTTTATGCCTGCTTTTTTGAATCAGGCACAATACAGGGCAGTCAGTCAGAACAGAGATCATTTACATACAGTTCTATGCAAAATTTTGGGCAGCCCTAGCCAAATATCACATATTTTAAAGTGAAAAGAAGAAAACACAACCTCTGCAGCAAACAAGTTAAAAAACACATTTTCTGCAAATGTTAATCTACAGTACTACTCACTTAAAAATAGAAAAAAGAAGTGGTAATTGTAGCATGTATAAATATTTGGACACCTTTCCAGTTGTAAAAGGTCAGAGCTAAATCGTTAGGCCTTAATTGACTCATGAAGACTGGTTAGGCAGGTCAAGAATTGTCATGTGGACAGCTGATGAAAATTTCAGAGCGTGGTGAGTTTTCAGACTCTTCACACCTTATGCAAACACTCAACATCTAAGCAGCTGGCTGAAGACCTGAAAATGAAGCTAATTAATGCCTACCAAGCACGGAAAGGCTATAAAAAGATATCAAAATGCTTATGGCTCACAGTTCTCACTGTCTGAAATGTCATCAAGAAATAGCAGTTAAGGGGAACTGCAGAAGTGAACATCTGGAAAACCAAGTCAATTCTTAAAGAGAACTGCCTGTATGCTGGCAAGAAAGGCAACGCAAAACCCCCATATGACAGCAAAGAACCTGTGCAGCTTGCTTGGACAAACACGATCTGCATAGAAAGGGTCATCAGAATTAAACCTTACCTACAACCTCATCACAAGTCAACATCTGAGGTATGTAAAACAATGTCTGGATAACTAAGAGGCATTCTTGAAACAAGTACTGTGGATTGATAAAGTCTTCGGCCACAATCACCAAAGATATGTTTGGGAAAGGAATAGCAGCATTTGATGAAAAGAATGCCTTGCTAACGGTTAAGCATGGGAGTGGATCTATTAAGCCAGCACAGGAAACACTGCACTGGTAGATGAAACACAGAATTTCCCTAAATATCAGAAAATTCTTAAAGTACATGTGTCATTCAAGAAACTGAAGCTGGCTTCAGTAACAGGACAATGATCCAAAACATACTTCAAAATCCACTGAACTATTGCAAGAAACACAAGCTGAAACTTAGAACAGCCCTCACACTCCCCTACCTTGAACATCACTGAAAATCTACGGTTAGATCGTAAACATGCTGCATGCAAGATAGCCCAAGATCATTGCAGAACAAGAAACGTTTTGCAAGGAAGACCTCAGGGGAAAAATGAAATACAAATACAAATGTAGAATTTGGGCCCTTTATAAATCCTATTTAGTAAAGGCTTAGGCTTAATCCATTCAGAGCCTCATATTCACTTATCAGAACTGGGACGCATCTTTAATTGGTGGTTACTGTGATTAAGTGCTTATTCATAGATGGATATTTTCAGCAAATTACCATCCTGACAGCTTATCGGTGACTAAGAGGATGCAGTCAACAAATCCGCCTGTGGCCACTTCACCACTGGGAAGGAGACTGTGGACTGTGTGTCAGATCAAATGCAAAAAATGGCTGCAACAAGGCTTAGAAACCTCCACTGTAAGCCTGCTAAAGCCTGTATCATTGAAAGTCTGTCTGGGGTGACCTGCAGCATGCCTTTAAGGTAAAAAAGTCACACTTAGATGAAAAGTTGCAAGCTTATCTCTTAAAAAGCAGCTGAATGAATCTGTTAGAGGGCTCCCCATGCGAAGTGGATTCTAAGCCTGTGCCTCAGCCTGTGATCAGCCACAGTCCTCTTCTCCCCTGCTGTGGCATGTGTTTATGTATCTTTTTAGGAGAAATCAAACGCTAGAACTGATGCAGTTAGAGAGTCAGCAAAACAGATTTAATAACACAAAATTCCTTCCTGTCACCTTCAGTGCGCTCCAGCCTTCACTGCAAACAAGCTGCTACTGTCCTGGAGTACACTCACACATGAATTAGCGCACTATGTTGTAATTTTACCTGCTACAGGTAGATTTCTAAAGTACACTGGTGTGAGAAATATCAATATCACAGTGCTCAAATAAGCAGTATTTTACTTAGCACTTACTAAGGGGAACAGATTTTTTTAAAGTTTCTGAACAATTCGGTTCTAGAGTCATACATTAAAAAAGTTATTCAGAGTAGTTTGATGTGAAATGGGTCATTGTAGTGAGGACTTCTTTACAGTGGTAGTGATAGGAACCAGAGGTTGTGATGTTTACAATGCAAATATAGCCATTTTACTCAGTACCCAGAATTCCCCTTTAAAGGGGCATTCCGGCCTAAAAATAGCATTTAATTTGTTATTTGTAATGTTATGTATTACTTCGTACACACATAAAAAAGATGGTTCTTTAGTAAAGAATATGGTTCTACACAGAGCCGTGAACATTCAAAGAACCTTTTGCATAATTAAAGGGTTCTTTGCATCATAAAATGATTCTTCAGACTGGTGGACTGTGCTGTAGATGGTTCTATATAGAATCTTTTTGTAAAGTGTTCTCTATAGCACCAAAAAGGGTTCTTCTATTATAACCAGCTTGATATCGTAACAACAGAAGAACTCTTTTTAGTGCTATAAAGAACCCTTCTATAAGAAGGCTTCTATACAGAAACATCTACAGCACATTCTCCATCAGTCTTTCAGCAGCATTGCACCCATCAGCATCATCTGGTTGACAGAATTCACAACTGTGTATCCTTTTTGTGTTTTCTTCCATCACTACAACACCCAGCATGCATTATGCAAATATGTCACACAACCACTGGGGATCCCCCCATACTGAAAAGGAAATTCATGTATGCACCACTCATGTAGTGGCTAATAAATTCTGAGGTGACATTCAGCAGTAACATCAGCCATCTGGCTTCCTTCCTTCAGCAGCTAGTGGAAAAAAAATCAAATAGCTCTCAAGTAAGCTGTTTAAAAAGCTCCTTCCACCTTCAAGATACATCATCAGAAGGGAGGTTTTGTCTTTAAACCAGAAAACCTCACTCTAGAGACTATTTTAGTTAGGAGGTGAATCTGCATGTTTACAACAGATGCAGCAATGGTTATATTTTTGACTTTGGCTTTAATCATGTTTAATTCTATGCCTAAAATAAAAGAACATGCTGCAATAATGTAAAACATTTGTAGATGACATTTTTGTGATGTCTTCATAATGAAGAAAAAGCAAACTGGACAAATCTGTGGGTGCAGTCATGCCTGTTTTACTGTCATGATAAACCAAAGTGCTCTTGATTCTTTTTAATAAAAAAAACTGTCCTACACAGTTGAGTGGAGTAGCATTTTCCTCCATTTAAACTCATGAAGGGCGCCATAATAAGCTCATGAGTTGGATCATGTGTGTTGGAGCAAGAAAACACTTAAAAAAGCAAAGCAGGCGATCTCTACTATTAGGAAACTGTTCTTATGAACTCACCTTGCACTCCAAGTGAAGTGATCAGATGACAGTAATACTCTCTGGAAACTGCTGTGAGAGGTGAGTCATGGTCAGAGTAAAACCTAGAAGATGACAAGTCAATACAAGACAGGATGTTCAGTACAGTCCTTTTTTTGGCCATTTCCTAACCCTGAATATGGCTTCAGTGTATAAGAGTTGAGTTGTGAAAAGAACTGTATGTTTTTGTCTGATATTTTTCCATACTTTAAAAAGGTTGTAAGCCTCCCTTGTATTTTTCTTTGCACTTCAATATCCTATATTTCATGTTTCCCTACATCTGAGCTGGAACAGAGTTGTGCTACATATATCTTTGGTCTTTAACACATCATCATCGACATCAAACTACATTACCCATGCTGATAGGGACTGGGTGTACTAAGAAGTTCATGTCTATAGGGAATTCAGCACCTGAGCGTTTTAGACCTGAGCAGCTTTCATTGTTTTACTGAAACGACAAGACTTTTAATGAATTTGTTGCTTTAAATTACTTCAGCCCCACGTCCCCACGTCTAGCTAAGAGATATAGTCAGAAAATAGTTCAAAATATGTTTTCGTTCACCTTCAGTTCTTCTCTCAGCACTTTATAAATACTGAATCTGGACCAGTGGACATTTTATTAGTTTATGCTGCCATCTGCTGGCGAAGCGTAGAAGGGCCAATGGTTTGTGTTGGCCTTTGCGTTGTCAAAATAAAGTGTTAAATAAAATAAAATTAAATTAAATAAAATAAAATTTAAAAATGTTCTGTGAACTCAGAGTCTGCTCTTACTGTAGTTAACGTATTTACATTTATATTTGTTATATGTGTTAATTTTATCTGTTAGTTGATGACCTAAAGTACAGTGTTGTGAAAATGATCAGAATCATCGGCTGTGCAGTTCCTTATTCAGTCAGTTTTCATGCTATGCCTAACATAGAATAATTTGCTCCAGTGAATATAACTATAACTGAGTTGCAAGAGTTGTAGCAAACAAATTGAGACATCTTTGTAAGCAACCAGTGTAAACAACAAGTTAAAAAATAAAATAAAATAAAGACGTATTAAAAATATCTGTCAGTTTGGCCTTGATTTGTCACTACACACGCTCCGCCTCAATTTCTGCAACGTCCAATCAAATTCGCCACAGCGAGTGACGTTCACTATTCCAAAGCGAGGCGCGCTGAACGGATTTGACCGAGCTAATGAGCTAATTTGCTACAGCTAGTTTTGTTTATCTTCGTCAATGAAGAACAACAAACTCCTTTAGTCAGTCGAGGCAGAATGAGACATGGATTCAGATGCAGGGCAGGAAGACTCCAAGGCCGGTACTGTCGCTGAAACCTCGTTGAAGTTTACACCACAGAGGGGAGGCGCGGTGTTGTTAGCTTCAAGAAAAAGGTAAATAAACAGTGAGCTGGACCTTTGGTTAGTTAGCTTAGGGGATCTGTACTAGCTGTGAAGTTACGTTAGACTACGTTAGACACTGTCTGTCTTCGAGTTTTATCAAGTCTTTTTATGATTTCTAATTATTGTGGCATTCTATGGAGGACCTGCATCTCTCTCTCTTCGTCTTAATGGACCCTCGGAACCGAGCTCATGTTTTTCAGTTCAAGGGGAATTCCAACGATTTTTCAAAGTTTCTGCGTAATTCAATCTTTGAGATGTAAACAGTCATTCAGAGAGTGGTATGATGTGAAATGGTTCATTGTCGTTAGACAAACTTACAGACTCTGATTTCTTTACAGTGGTGATGATAAAAACCAAGGGTCACTATGTCTACAACACAAATATAGCCATTTTATTTACTATCCGGAAGTTTTGTCAGGGTAAGTTACTACTTTGGTGTCTGGTTCCTACCAGCACCACTGTGATAAATTTTGGTTCAGTAAGCTTTTCTGGAACGAAGCATTTCACATCAAACTACTTATAATGACTTTGTGTACATCTTAACCTTTTATTTTAGCAGAAGTTTTGAGAGATCAGTGGAATTCCCCTCTAAAGGAATCTCTCTGATGGGGCTTTGGCTAAAGGGACGGGGGCTCTGGTGTAGATACTGAAAGACTGAAACTTTAGGTGGTTTATGATTCAGTAGAAGTATCAGTATATACACTGAATTGCCAGTTTATTAGGTGCACTACGTATACGTTGCCACTCTCTGCCACCCTGTCAATCAATGAAAAGGGCCCACTGTAGACCAGTGATATTCTGACGTTGTAGTAGGTGTTAATACTGACTTAAGACTGGTCTATCATCCAGCCAATGTTGGGCCTGTGGTCAGAAACTGAAAACTAATGAAGGGCAACAAGATGACTAGCACAATTTGTTGCGGAAAAAAAAGAGGTACATTGTGCACCTATGATGAGAATCGACAAGGGGGGTGTGTCTAACAAAGTAGGCAGCAAGTGGACACAGTATTTAAAACTCTAGCAGCACTGCTGTGTCTGATACAATTGTATCAACACAACACACACTAACATGATATCACTTCCATATCACTGTCACTGCTGTGCTGAGAATGAACTGAGAACCCCAATAATATCTGGTCAGCAGTGGCCCTGGGGTGGTCCTCTTCCAGAATGACAGGTCAATAAACATTTATGTATTGGTAAATTAGTTTAGAGCGTGGCATTTTACTATGGGCAATTTTTAAAGAACATTCAGGTTACACACTGAACAGTAAGAGGCTTACTGTGTTTTGAACACAGAGCAGTTTGTTTTTATGATGCTGATTATTGTGTAGAATGAATTGATCTATAGCTACCAATATGTAGGTTTACAGGGTTGAAAGGAGCTGATAAATTGTGCATCAACAGATGGGCTGCAGTCAGTAACTGCAAACCTACAAAGTCCACCTATGTGTTGGGTATTTCTGATAAACTAACCGTTAAACGTAGTTTAAAAAAAATGGCCTAATAAACTGGCAATTTAGGGTCACTGATGGATAAATCTTTTACTGTTCAGCATTCAACTGCTTTGCTATTAGTTGCTTAGCAATTGTAAGTGCCAGAGGCTAGTTAAAGTGCATCCACTTATCCAACATTTCTTTTGTAATCAAGGATATTCTTAGAGAGTTTGCCCTCCCCCTTTTGCTGTAGTAACAGCCTATACTCTTCTGACAAGGCTTTACACTAGATGTTGGAACATTGTTGTGAGGATTTGATTGCATTCAGCCACAAGAGCATTAGTGAGGTCAGGTACTGAAGTTTGATGATCAGATCTCCAGCTCATCCCAAAGGTATAGATGAGTTTCTGTGCGGCGGCATTATGGAGATGCACTTGCAACTAGGGGGCAGAAAGCGGCACTTCTTATGGCCAAAAGCAACAATTACAATGAGACAATGAATTACAATGTTGTTATTAAATGCTTGGGGGGCTTTATACCCCTCTAGCTGACACTTTGCATTGGGCATGGTGACCTGATTCAGAACATACTACAATATTGGTAAGTGTTTTTTTTTGTTTGTTTGTTTGTTTGTTTTTTTAATGGAAATTATACACGCTGTGCGTTCACAGGTGAACATCTATGTCAGCAGTGGAGGCACTTGAAATTCGCAAAGTTCACTAATATTAAGGGGTGTCTCAATACTTTTGGACATGTAGTGTAGCTTGATTTTGTTTTTAAGTCTTATTGATTTACTACTTTGTTTTCTGTTGAACAGAACGCCATATTCGGGATCAAAGAAAGTGAATTCCAGTTTTAAGTCTCCAGTAAGTATTGTAATTTAGATGAGTCCTTTTTTCTGAATCTGGTAAGAAAAGGCCACACATGCATCACATGTGCTTAATAAAACAGTACACTGTTGCTGTTTCCCAACCTGGATCGGTGCATTTTACTGCATGACTGAACAGTTAATGTGTAACTTTACAAAAAGCAGTAACACAGAGTTCTTGTGGGTATTAAATAGCCTTGTGAAGCCTTAAAGTACACCATACACGTTCATAAAATGTATGTGAATGTCTTACTTTTTTACTTTTGGAGGTATTGAATTGTGAGATAAACCTTAAAGATGGGGCTGAAAAGAGTTGGTGTAAATGATAAACATAAGTCAGATTATTTTGTTAACCAAATATATCCAGCCAACAATGAAATATAGTTGGAAACTGGCCACTGATGAAAGGCTACAGGACAGCAGAACTAATAGCAGTCAAATGTACTGAAAAGGTGGATCAAAGTGTATAATGTTTGTTTCATCTGTGTGAATGAAACAGATATTTCTGCAGGCTGTATATGGGTTTGTGTGTGTTGGGAATTAGATTATTTTTCTGTTGTTGGTCTTAAAAACGTATTAAAAAGGACAGAATGTGATTTCAAAATTGCGCACCCTGTAACAAGAACATCACTGTGCTTTTAATAGGTTCAGGCTTCCAACGCAGCAAGTTCTGGGATCTGTATTGAGGAGGAGATCAAAGAACTGCAGATGAAACTAGCCGAGCTGGATTCACAGATTGCGCTGTTAGAAAATGAGTAAGTTTGTTTGTGTTTTTGGTAGATACACAGGAGGTAGACCACAGATGACGGCCTGTTTCCAAGCAGTCTTTTACATAGACCTAAATATTTTTATGATTGTTTATGGACTTTTAAGCATGAGATGTTGTGTTTTTTTTTCCCCCCTCATGACACTGCAAGAAGAAAATCAGTCACAAAATAAGACACTCAGTACTGCTGCTTCTTCCATCTACTTGGTACATAATTTTACGTGCATGTGCAAATTTGTTGTTGTATATGCAGCACTTCTGTCATGCACCAGAATGCGTTCATGTCTGGTGCTTCCACAAAAACAGTTGACACAACAGTTATACATTATAATAAAGGTCATTCTTGTTTTCCTTGCTATCAATTAGGGCTTCTCTGAAACCGATTTAATCTTTTCTCTAAGAAGTAAAGACTGAGATGTTTTTGTTGTTTTATGATTGTTTCAACAGAGGCATCAAAGTGGAGGAGATAGATCAGCACATTGATCTGCTGCATGAATACAATGACATCAAGGACATTGGACAGATACTTCTAGGCAGACTGGGTAAGGTTGGTGTAGTGGCAGGCTGATTCTGTTAGTCTCATAGCATATTTGTATTTATAAACCTTGTGTGTAGTTACAGTTTGCATATGTTTAATGCTCACCTTTCCTTCAATACATATTTGAGTTTTTATTTTAAAAAGTGGTGACAGTTACTATGTTGTTAATGTATTAACGTGATAAATGTGGAGTTTTTTTAAATTGTTTAAAATTATCCTGTTGGGTTTTATTCTGCCTTTTTGGTGATGATTGGCTGGTTTAGGTCAGTTTTGTACGGATGTTTTTTTGGGCTCATTTCTGTTTAGGACTCAAAAGTTGATCAAGTGGTTTGGGTCTGTTTCATCAAAACTTGGCTCGGGTCAGGTTTGGACTCAATCTTGATGATGTGGTTCGGATCAGGTCGGATTTGGATATAAAAGGTTTGGGCTGTATTCTGGTTCGGAACAAAAGTTTTGCCACAATTTGAGCTCTCACTCTGATTATGTGTTGTGCTATGATGGCCTACTGCACAAAGTCAGCATATAATCCTGTGGTTCAACATACCTGGTGAAAGAGTCATCTTAAAAGCTACTTTAAAAATAGGCCGTTCTGACTGGCCCAATCATGATCAGAAACTTACCTAATTGTCCAACAAACCAAATCATTCCTGAACACATGGATGGGCACCATAGTGAAATTTTGTTAACATTAGTTTATTGTTAATTTGCACAGAATTAAATTTAGATTAGCTCACAGAGGTAAACACAGTAATCTCTAACTCTAGAGCATGAGCATAAGAGGCCATATATTGCCTTTAGAGAGGTTATCGTACATCAACCCACACATGACTGTATACATACAACACTACCTTGTACTGGCCTATACGGATTATATACGTACAACACTAGCCTATACAGGGTTGTAATGTCAGAAGTATGATAATGCCACCAACTGCATTACAGCTGCATTCTCCAGCAGCCTCTACATAAAGGGTTCCTTTTAGATCTCAAGCCCGCTGAACGCCCTCTGTACAGCGGCTAGAGCATGACTCCAGCTGGCCTGGGGGCGAGAGAGAGCAATAGCAAGCGAAAGCAGACTTGTGCCATGTCACAGTTTTCCTCTGTGTGTCAACACAACTGATCTTCTGTGTCTTTTTGTCGCAGCCATCCTGCGTGGAGTGACCACACGTGACTTGTACAGCCTATTCGACATGGAGCTGGACGACTGATTGGCCAGAGTAGAGGCTGTGGGCGAGTGAGGATGGTGTTACCAGTCACCTCTCTGGAAGATAAGCTGGGGTACAGGTGATACATATAACAGCAGGATCTGCCTAGCACACTGTAAAATGATTTGGTGTTGAGCTGAAGTGTGCAAATTTGACTGCATTAATGTGTGGGTTTTGTTGAACTCTGGAATGCATTAACAGAAAGTAAGGCACAGATTTTTGTTCTTTTAAAGGGGAATTCTGTCAATTTGTCAATTTCTGCATAATGCAGTTGTTTTCATTGTAAGGAAACATCCTGGCTCTGATTTCTTGACAGTGGTGGTGATGGGAACCAGGAGGCACAATGTCTACAGCTCAGTTATTACCATTTAATTTATTCTCTGAAATGACCAGTGAACCATTTCATGTGACTTTTTTTGAGGGAGCAAAAAGACTCTTCAGACATCTGGTTCCTATCACTGCATGCTGTGAACAATTCTAAATCTTAGAACATTTACAACAGGAGCATTTAACATTAAACACTCTGAATGAAATTAGTCTTAAATCTTAAGGATTGCATTAAGCTGATTTAATAAATTATTGGAATTCCCCTTTTGCAGTCGTTATTTGATGCTCAGTGAATTCAAAGTCTTAAACCCGACAGATTACTTATGTTGTTAAGTAACAATAAATGACTTGCAGTATTATGTGACTTCTATGTAAAATATTTTCACCTCTGCAAGTTATACAGAAGTGACTATGAAGCTATTTAGGAGTTAATTGAAAAAAGAGTAGTGGGTTTATTTTCTAGTGTACTTGGGCCTAATTGAGAGTTTTTTTTGTTTTTTGTTTTTTCTTCTTTGGTTTTTGTTTGTAAAACTTTACCTAAGGCTGAGTCAGGATCCTCTAAGGATCTCTGGGAGTGGTTCAGGTAATGCAGAGAACAAGAAGTACCGATACTATGTGTGGAAATAATTAAGAACAGCAATGGTTGGTCCACTCACTTAGAAAGTATTTTACTCAGGAAGGGCACGTCCATGAGCACGCCCACTGAAACTGCCTCCATAGTTCAGGATTGGTAATTGCTAATGAGTTTGAGAGTGATGAGTCAAAATATATATATACGAAGAATTATTTAGTGAAATTACAATTAATTAGTTCATTTTGACTCAATGTTTGTAAAACGGGCGTTCAAAGAAGTTACACAGTGAAAAACTTGTGAGAGATGAAAGGATGTTCTCGGCTTTCATCTCTGCACCCCAGTCTTCCTTTCATTGTTTTCTGTTTGTTTTGTTTTGGTGGGTTTTTTTTTTGTTTTGTTTTTTTTTTGCCCGCCACCCCCCACCCATCATGTGTGAATGTGGAAAAATTGTGTGCACTTACACTGTCATTTAAACATTTTAGCATGTTCTAAAGGGCCCATATCGTGCATTCTTCTAGCAGTTTATTTCTTTCCCTAAGGTCCACTTTCGTTATGGTTTTATGTACTGAAGTCATCATTCATTTTTATACATTTATAACAGTTACAATTTTTCCAACATCTCTTTGCCCTTCATAATGAAACAGGCTGTCTTGTTACTTCACCCTCAAGACTGATATATGTAAATGATCTGATTGGGTGCCCTGTATTGTGTCTAATTCAATAAGCAGTCCAGGATGAAACTTCAGCGTGAATGGGTGGAGCTAAACTGCTATAGTCTTTATAGGCAAATGTAGCAACCTCACAAAAATATCAAATTCAAAACATTTTTTTTTTTTCAGTTTAGTTTCCATATGGACTATGTAGTGAACAGTATGTGCTAAAACTTTAACATTGTTTACATATTACATCAAATTTTATTTCAGAAAAAGAGGATTTTTTTCATGATATGGGCCCTTTAGTGTATGCTGAGTATTTCATATTCATGGGAGTATTTGTTTCACTAGGAAACCAGCATATGTCCTGTTTTGACTGATGTTCCTTAATCACCACTTCAGTAATATTTAATTGTACAGTTACAAGAAAAACCTGTCCTTTTCATTCACTTAACTCTGAATAATAAAACGTCTAAAAGCAGTGCATGTTGCTGATAAGGAACATGATGGGTATGGATGTGGACTATATGGACTATACTGTTCTCTTTATTCAAGGCCTTTACAAATACCAGATTGGAAATGTTCTTTGAGCAGCATCACAACACATTTTCTTTCCACTGATTTGTCCCAGGATGTAGTTCCTTTACTAATAAAGGCTGAGTTACAGAATACATTACAGTGATCTTCATATCAGGTGTTCAGCTTTAAAATCAGTGTATTTAATGTACTGTTGGATCTGCTGTGTTTATTCTAAGTGGCAAATGAGCATTTGACTTCCACTGAACACTCTTGGTTCTTCAAGGGTTCATTTATTGTTACAATATCAAGCTTGTAACAATAGAAAACCCGTTTTTGGTGCTGTATAGAAGCATTTCCAACCATTCTATATAGAACCATACACAACACATATAAGCATGGCAAGGTTCTACACAGAACTCATGGTTTTATTTACAAAAGAGCCGTCTTTTTAAGTGTGTACATCAGGCTTTTAAACAGCGATTGTGTTATTTGAATGGTGTTTTACACACTAATAGATCAGTATTAAGTATATAAGTATTTTTGTATAGCAAACTATGACCTACACTAGATTCATTCATTCATCGAGTGTGAAAAACTGCGCTGCGCTCTGCACTTGCGCAGATTTGACGCTTAAGAACACGTGTTGGTGTGGCGCGACCATACGCATCTCGATCTCCCCCACCCTTTTCTCTTTCTCTTTCTGTTTTTTTTCCCCTCTTCTTTCAAGCGCTCTTCCCGGTTCTGCAGCGCAGCCCTGTTCCTACCGGCTGCGAGCTGCTGCTCTTTCTCTGCGACGCGATTCGTTATTTGGTAGCGTGAACGAATCCTTCTATTGAACCGGTTCTTTTCTATGAATTGGTCGTGCCGATTCACAAATCCAAGTGAGTCGAATTTTTTTGTAGCATCTGCATAATATTATAGGCTGAAATCTTATTACGTGTAAATACTAATATTTGATAGTTTAAAATAAAATTTGTTGTATAATTTATTAATACTAGTATACAGCTTGCATTTTTCGTTGAATGTATCTGGGTTGCTGCTTCTGCTATGTGTTTGTGCTTTGTGTAATAGTATGTTTCCTTGCTTCTGTTTAATCTGGTAGCCATGTGGAGCCACATGTTAGTCAGTTAGGCCTGTATATTTAGGGAGTCAGTGGCCTACAGAACAGGGAAAATCAGGATAAGCAGATAGTGAAGGACGTTTAATTAAAATACAACAGAGATATGAATCATTTGAATTTTTACTTATGAATCAGCTAATGCATTTAAAGGGGAATTTCACCAGTTTGTCAGTATTTGTGAATAATTTAGTCTTTCAGATGTAAACAGTCATTCAGAGGTTTGATGTAAAGTGGGTCATTGTAGAAAAACTTACAGACTTTGATTGCTTTACAGTGGGGGTGATAGGAATCAGGGGTTACAATGTCTACAACACCAATATAGCCAGTTTTTACTATCCAAAACCACCAGTGAACCTGCACATGCCTTCTCAGGTCTTATATGTAATGCTGATGATGGTAAAATAATCATAAATCAGGAAAAATAAGTCTTCTTTGAGGACTATTTTGTCTTGTCCTGAATGTACCCCACCTCCATGAATGGGTCAAAATACATTTTAGACCAAAACTTTATCACAGGACTATCATAAAACAACATGTCAGACATCAAGCAATGTGTATCTAACCACATAATGTAATTAATTTTTTACTTTCTTGCATAATTGGGTCCAATTGTTCAACTGATGCTCATCTTTTGGACCCACCGGTCACAACTGTGACGAAAAATAAACTTTAGATTGTTCACTAACCTTCAGAAATTTTCTGAAAAGACATGTAGTATGTGTCATTGGACCATCCACGGAGCAAACCACATGTACTCAGCATAGCTGGGCAAAAGAAATGGAGATTAAATTGGCTAATCTGTCATTGAAACATGATTTATTGAAATGCACAGGGCGAAAGAATCGACTCCTACACTGAATCGAATCGCTTTTTTCTCCCGGCCCGCATTTCCCTTCCACTGTTCGCGGAAGCCCCACCTCCTCCTCTGATAACGTCAGCGTCGCTTTCTCGAAGGCGATTGGCTGCGGCGCCCGTCGCTCAAAGCGCTTATCGGCGGCCGGTAGGGAGGGGTAAGAAAATTATAAGGTCATATGAATTAGAGCGTCGTTAAAATGGAGATGCGGTGACGGGAGATGTTGAACGGAGGGATGAATTAAAACGGGGAGAGCAGTTCAGCTGGATCCATTCTAATATAAACGCGGAGGAGGGGGCTCGGCTGAGCGGGATCGGCGTGTGTGGAAACAGGGAAACGCGTGAAGAGAAGGAGGTTTCTCTGCTAAAGCCGATCAAGGTGGGATTGAGGCAGCCAGTATCTGCCACCATACGCACAAGTCAGTGACTGCGGACACGGAAAACGAGGTATTTGATGGCTCATCACTCTTCCTTTGGTCTGTTTCCGGCATCGCGTAAAATGAAGACACGAAGCTGTAGTCAGCTGCTCATTCGCCAGCTTCTATTTAGAATTTTCCCGTTCCATCTTAAATGATTCTGTCTGAGGCGCCAGAATGTAACTGCTGCACCATTTAAGGTGGAACGGGAAATTCAAATAGGAAGCCAGTTTCAGCCTCATAATGAAGGCGTCCAAAACCACACACTCTATCTTCTGGACTAATGAATGCACTGCTAATAGTAGTGCACTACTTGAATATAGTGTTTAGTATGACAGTGTGCGGTTTAGGACGCAGCCTGTGTGTCCCTCAGCTGTCCTCTCTACAACCTTGTCCATGTATGATGAGCTCGCCGGCTGGAAAGATGTCGTGCCGTTTTTTTCTTGTTCTAGATCAGTATTTCTCAACCCTGGTTCTGGAGGCCCACTGCCCTGCACACTTTACTGCCTCGCTCCCAACACACCTGATCCAACTAATCAGCTCATCGGCAGCCCATTATTGAGTTAAAGTGGCTGTGTTAAGGCAGGAAGAGCACTGAAAGTGCTGGGAGGTGGGCCTCCAGGACCAGGGCTGAGAAACACTGATCACGATCAGCCTCCTTGTGACCTGCCCAGTGTTCACACTGCCAATAAATGGGTTTCCCTGCTCAGCTAGCTAAGCAAAGCATCAGCCAAGAACAAGAAGCTGTTCTTGTGCATATTATTCGTTGATGCGTCCAGCTAACAGCCCACCCGGCTCGGTCCATGTCGAACTGAAGCCTTTGGGAAATGAAATCACGTGAGAGCGGTAGGGAAAACGACCAGAAAGCTGTTTGATGGCTGCTAATCGTAGGCAGTTAAATCGCCTTATTCAGTCAATGCTAAACCGTGCTGTTGAGGAAGAGTGCGGTGGCGCACATGGCTGGTTAGTGTCAGCCAGGCATTTGCTGCCTTGACTGCTGCAGTGCTACAGTATGGCTGAAGCTGCTATGCATCACTGTGGCCTAAGCAGCCTTCCAGCACAATGGAGCCAAAACAAATGCTGTAAAGCATTCAAAAAGCACGATTTTGCCTGCCATAACGGCTTAACATAGATGTAATAGATGCTTGTGGGTGTGTGGGGTGGTGGGGTTGCAGGGGGGCATATGGAATCCCCTTCACTCCCTCGCTTTTCCAGTCAGGCAATGCGAGCAGGATTCCCCTCATCATTGCTTGATGCTATGCATGGACCATTTAGGACACTCCCCAGGTCCGGCAGAAGCACACTGACCATCATCTTGCATGTCTCTTAGTATATGCAGTAGCTGTATCAAATGATGTGCGATACCAATAACATATAAAATACCAACAATGCAATATTTTCCAAATACATAGCAGTGTTGGATGTTCAGTAGTTAACATTTCATATGTAAATAAAATATATTGCAAAATATGTATATTGTCATGCAGTATGTGCATATATTGTTATATCTTTAAAGAGACAAATGTCAGTTAAATATGTTTAGCACCTTTATTTTAAAACAGCACAATTATTGTGTATGTTTTTAATATGAGCCAATATAGTGTATATATTTTTTTTCTTCCATATGGAATGTTTTTAACTGTTTTATTCTTTTTTCCTCTCTCAAAATGTCACCAAACACAGTATTGTAAATGTTAACCAGACAAAATGCCGAAAAAAATATGGTTTATTTAGTTTTAATTCCTTTCTGAACAACAATCTGAAGCTCCTAGCAAATTACATGAATTGCATTTAATGTATGAAAACGACTAAAACAGAAATCAGTGTTGTTGCCACCCAGCGCTACTCTATGCTAAGAGTCCTCCTGTGGTCCAGCAGGTGCATACAAAGCCCTTAGTTCAGATGAGTATAAGACTGGACCCTGGATGAGGACAGCACCTTGGAAATTCAATGAAATTCAATCCCCCTTGTTAATTTACGTTGTCCATCCTTCAGTGATGTGGCTGCCCTTTGATCAGGTCGATTTAATGGAGATGTCCAGTTTGGAGGCGTTGTGCTTGTGTTTATGTTTATGTGAACAGGCAGGAAGTAAATATTTTTTTTCCTGTGTCATTGCTGGAGTGACTCCATGTCTGGGAGAAAATGGGTCAATTAGGGAATACCACAAAAAAACTACATTATGTGCATATTTGAGAGTAAATATGGCCTTTACTAATACAGAGGTCAAACTAGGATTGGGCAATGTGTTGTGTTATCGTCATGATAAACTGCATCAAGATAGGCTTTTCTGATTGCGGCTATTATCAGTGAACACTGAACAACTGCATGTGTTTTAAAAAAGATGGATTTAGACTGTGGATGCATGGATATAGGAATATATTGTGGGCCTATGCTAATATTTGCTATTCTACATATACGTTTTTGCCAATGGTGATACATAAACATTTATAAACTGTAAAAAATGTGAATAGATCTACCTGGTTTGGCATTATTTGCTTGTGCAGGGGCACAAACATGATAGAATAAATGAAATGCAACCACTTTAGCGTTGTAGGCCAGCACTGTCTAAACCAGAGTACAATAAATACTTCATTAAATATCAGTTTGAAATGTCAGTCAAATTTAAATGTCTGTCCGATGCCAGTAAATGTTTTAAGCAATTGTCTTCTGAAACTAGTATGATTCCAAGGTTATTGCGTGTCCCTTATTTAGCCCAATTATAGAGAGTCTGTAAATAAAAAAAATGTGTAGTACTGTTTAGTAGTAACAAGTAGCTTGTAGGATGTTGGCCCATTATCCATTTCTTATTTTTAGTAGTTTATGTTTGCAATCTTTGGAATAAAAGTATTTTTCTTAGCTTTTTTATGTTATGTTGTTAGGATTAACCTCACATAAACTAAATATTGTGGTATATGGCTTGCAAAGTCTTAAAAAAGGTGACATAAAGGGTTCTTTAGAGCAGTGCCATAGAATAACCAATTTTGGTTCTCTAACAAACCTTTCAAAGGATGATTTAGTAAAGAACTCATTTTAATACAAATAATAGTACAAAATGTACAGCCCATTTTATGCTATATGTTTATTTTTAGAAATTGTATAAATAGAAATTGTGCTCTAATATATGCAGAAAATGGCATATTTACATCTGTTTCCTGTAGAGAATGTTAAGTTTTTTTTTTTTACTTAGAATATCAACAAAACATATCTTTTGATCAAGGGTGTACAAACTTCTGCATATGACTGTATGTCACAACTTGTGTGCCTTTGGCTTTACTGACTTCCCCATAACCTGCTGATATGGGCTATCATATTTTTTTATTTTATTTTTTTTATTAGTGTTTATTTTTCAGTAGCATCATTATGTGAGAGATTTTGTTTCTCTGCCATATAGAACTCTTTCCATTTAGAAAGAATGTAGCCTTTTCTAGACATTTCTTTTTGTAAAAGTGGCAGCATTCCTTTTAGAGATGGTCTTCTGTTCTCCTCACTCCAGCTCTACCTCTCCACCATGCGCTTTGTCAGAGGCAAATCTGTCACATGATACTAAATGTTTGCACAAATACATAATTTTTTATGAAAAAATATGTTTCCAATGTAGATTTTTGCAATGTTTCAGGTATTTCAGTAAGGTTTTGTCGACATTCATAAAATGTTAGTCAATTTACATTTCCCTAGCCTAAATCAACAAACATTTTGAAGCTTTGGCTGAAAACGAACCTTTTTAATTTGTAGTAACCTCAACATAAAGTTAGCGTTCTACACCGATTGAACATTTTTTTTTCTAAAACCTTACAACCAAACCAAGAACAATTTAGGAATCTTTGTTTTTAAGGCTGCATCCTAGAAACGTCTTTAGGTATTTTGATGTGATACTTTTACGTCTACACATAGATGTTGAGAGCACTTGACTCAACACAAGTTGAATGCATTTTAGGTGATTAAGCTGTTAATGTTTCATTGAATATGGTGGCCTTGAGGCCTCTGCAATCTTATCCTGGCCAAAGAGTATCTGTTGACAGCCTGATCTTTAATTTATGAGAGCGAGGAGAACACCTTGAATGTTGCCTTTTGCACTGATGAGTTCATAACGCAGGTCAAAGATCACAGGTCGATGTCTGGTCTCTTGATATCCTCCTGTTTTTGTGGTTTGTGAAGCCCTGACTGCATTTCTTCTTATCTGTGCCTTCGTTTTTTGTTTTTTTTTTATCTTGGTTATACTGTCCATCTTATCAGAATTCAATCCTGTGTTTGCCTTTCTGAGTGTTTGGCGTGACTGAGTCATTCATGAACGATACTGTGGATGCAGGTCAAATTGTCAGATTTCCTCCCAACTTTGTATCTGTGTTTTTCTGTGTAGGATGTTGCGGTTGGGATGCTCCACAGCCCTCCTCTTTGTGCTCAGGCTGCTCTTTGGCTTGCCCTGGCTTCAGGTCCTTCCTGCCATCCTGATCTTCTTCTTCGGCACTGGAGGATGGAAGTCCCTCCGTGTGTTCATGAAAACTATCGGCCGGGATGTGCAGTAAGTGTGGGAGAGCGTGCGGCTCTAACAGCTTGTGTTTGCTCAAGCTTCGCAAGTGTAACTGTACTTTGAGACATGAGGTCTGTCATGATCGTGGAACTTTAGCTGAGGGTTAATTGCCATAAATAATTATGATTATATGACATATGAGCCTAGGAAATAAGTAATTGGTAGAGAGCTTTGATATTATATAAGGATTCTTTAAATTTTAAAAAGGTTCTCAATCACAAACACCCCTGGTCAAATCTCATGTTTTTGTTGATAGGGAAAATAAGTCAACATGTCTTGTACTTGGAACAGACTTAAATATGGCTTTTTTCGTCATTTTTAGTGCCAAATTTTTTAGTACGTATTGGGGGAAAAAATAAAGCATAAACCAAAAAATTGGCTTGTCCTTTAGGGAACGATCTTGGCCACCGAAGTCAGCTTAACCCAATCAGACACTCCCAGCTTCAAGCCCTGCCACATCCCAGCCCTGTTCTCATTGGCTAGTAGGTTGTGGGTCCTTCATTCAGAATGGTGGGATTATCAAACTGTGATGTCAGTTTTGTATCAAGTGTATTATTTCACCTCTACTGATGATTTGCAGGTGTTCGAGGTAGCTAATCAGCTATGTAGTAACTGGAGGCCAGTGTGCAAGCAGTAAGCACTTTATGGCCTTACACACTCACTGGGCTTTGACCCCCAGCTATGAGCTGTTTCTTTGATGAAGGGGTTTCTCTCGAGCCAGCATGACGGCCCTTTCTGGTTTTACTGGCTCTGAGTGGCTGAGTAGTGACTGTAGTAGATTTGCTTAGAAGAACCCCAGCCGGTCCAACTTGTTTTTAACACCCCCGAAGAGAGTAAAACTAACTGAAAATGTGGTTACATTTGCGCATTTTTGAGTGTTATTAAGGACTAATATTAATATTTACCTGTAGCTCCATTTGTAAATTCATAGGATTGGTTTTCCAGATAAGGTTTAAGCCTAGTCCTGGACTACATTTTCTTTTCAAGGGAGAATCTCCATTCAGAGTGCTGTCAGTCCAGGACTAGGCTTAATCCCTGTTTGTGGAACTGACCCACAACTTTTGTTAATTGCTGGTTTCAGTGAGTGTGTGTTGTCTCTGTGGGTGGAGAAAGGTAAATTTTAAACTGCCGTTATGGAGTTAAGACCACCATTCTGGGTCAGAAATCACTGTTTTGTTTCCCCATCATGTGGGAGTGCACACACATACCACTTCCCTTTCACCACCAGATCTGCGGTGAAGTAAGATTTGTGTGCTATCCAGTCAGCTGTTCTTTAGTGAAATGCACTCTGCGTTAAAAAATGAGAGGGTAGAGGTGGCCAATGTGATGACATTTCATCAGCATGATAATTTTGTTATCCTGATTAACACTAAGGTTTTCTGAGTATATTGTAGATGTCGTCCATACTTAAAGAACACTGACCAACTGCATGTTTCATTATGAAGACAGAATAATTAGCCCTGTTTAATCCTGGTAAACATGGCACTACTAGTGTTTTCTGTCTGTCTGTCAAAATATTATGATACGTCTTGTGCATCACAGTGTTTTTATGTATCATGATATAGTATTTTTGCCATATTGCCTTCCCCTAGAAAAAAAAGGGGGGGGGGCAGTCTTTCATGAAAACCAGTCTTTTCATTTTCACAATGTCTGCATAGCTTCCCTATTATGAATGAGCTCATCATTAAAAGTTTACTACCTATGTACAGCAGCCAATGGCCATTAAGTGCAAGTTATTCAGGAGATATTTCTGAGGAGATTAGATATAAGATAATCATCTTGCGTAAGGAAGGAGAAAGTCAAAGGTAAGATAAATGAAAAAAACAGGAGTTTCCAGAACTGGAGTCAAAAAACGATTAAAAGATACAGAGAAAATGAGACTCTTAACAACCACCTGCAAAACTGCCCCCATCAGATAAACAGTACTTAAAGTAGTGTGCAAAATACTCATTGGTATTCAGTCCCATATTGGCTGGCTACTCCAGCGCTGGCACTCTTTCCACCAGTCTCTCTAGAAACTGGGCAAGTTGTCAGATTTACAAATATGCTATGGCATATTGTAGTGTTTTCAGAGGTATCTCAGGCATAGTTATAGTTGCAAGACTATGAACGACCAACATGGTGAACCAGTTTACTACAGTGCCACCCTGAGGCAGACAACATCACTGAATGTGTTTGGGATTACTTGAATCGTGAGAAGCAAAAAATGCAACCAGTGTCTAAGACTGAACTGTGGAGATGTGGAAAAATACCCCTACAGATTTGTTTGAAAAACTGAAGGCAAGTCTCTTGGGAAAAAAATGGAAGGTGTAATAAAGGCAAATTGTTTTAATTTTCTGTTAAATGCATGTTGCCTGCTTTTTTCCTTATGCTAAAAAATGAATAACTTTGTTTTTTATGGCCATTTTGACCAAAAAAAGTAAGTTAAGGGTGGTATTGAGTTATATGAGGTTTGCATAGATATTGGCCAGTGTTCTGCCCATCTGTTTGTAGTGATAAATTTGGGTTATATTATGGCTTCCTCACACCCACACAGAAGTGTCATTTTTTTTTTTGTTACTTTTGTTAGTTCATATTCACGACACTAAGTACACGAGATTGGTCAGAGAAATGGTTGCTTTATTGTTCTTTGCAACAGTAAATTCTGCCATGAATATAATGTCATTGTCCAAGAACAAATATCTGTTTTTTTTGCAGTTTTTAGTTTTCTGCATCGTTTGAGCTCAACAGCTTTTGTTTACATTACGTGAAAGTTTTGTGACGTTTGGACCAATAGAAATGCTCCAACATTGCTTGGAATAAAATCTGTTTACATTGAAAGCAAGGACAGTTTTTGCCCTCTCCTGTAAAATTACCATTTTGAAGATACTTCTTTTTCTTAGAACATTGATTATAAGCATTGTTTATCACACTACCACCAGAGCAGCCACTGGTCAACTTAAAACCTGCTTTTTTTGTCTTTTACAGTGCAGCTGGCGTGCTACTGAAGGTGAAGCTCAACGTAAGGCGGCACTTGCGCCAACACAACACTTTGCCCAAGATCTTTGCTGAGACGGTGCAAAAATACGGTGACAAGACAGCACTGATCTTTGAGGGGACGGGTGAGAAGTGGAGCTTCAGGCAGCTGGATGAGTATTCAAACCGTGTGGCCAACCTGTTCTACCAGTGCGGCTTCAGGGAGGGAGATGTCGTGGCCCTGTTCATGGAGAACCGCTCGCAGTACGTTGGGCTGTGGCTGGGCATGGCCAAAATAGGAGTGGAAGCAGCTCTCATTAACTTCAACCTGCGACTGGAGGCCTTGGTGCACTGCGTGAACATCTCCAACTCAAAGGCAGTGGTGTTTGGCAGTGAGCTGACCGATGGTAAGCAGCCAGCATTATTACATGAGCGCATAATGGGCTTATTTGCCTTTAATTGCATGGCAGTCTATGTAATGAAGAGTGCAAGTAGGGCTGCACACTATATCATTGGTTAATCATTATCGCAGCGTCGCCCTTTGCAGTAGTGGTATGCATTATGTAAGCCCTCAACCAAATCACTAAATGCATCAAATTCTCACACGTCAGATGAGTTTGTGTGGCTTTTTGCAATGAATCAAAGTATTGGTCACCAGCCCTCCTCCTGTAGATTTTCTTGCCTGCAGAGTTTAATTTTAGTGTAGTGTAGAGCTCCAGGACCAGGGTTGGTGATTGATGAAGCAAAGTATTCACATCATTCAGTAATCATAGATGTGGCGCCAATCCCATACTGGGTATCAGTATTGGGCCAATATCTGCAGAAAATACTGAATCAAATACCAAAGGAGTCCGATCCAGTGCAGTAACAAGTCTTTTCTGGCATAGTACATAATACCTCTCCAAGACCCTCCAGAGCCTCCCACTGCAACTGCATTTATTGAGAAAGTCCTTTAGTGAATGAAGAAGTGGGTGGAGGCAAATTGGAATGTAGCATGTAGACCGATTTTGACGGTAAGCAAGTCACTGTTACTACACTGTAGTTGTGCAATTAACAGGCTAGTATTATGAAAGAGAAGTGAAAATTGGCCAAATGTGAACATGAGTATGAGTCTGTGGAATGAAAATGCAGTGATTTATTAGTCATAAGAAGGTCAGTGTGTTTGGAAAAAGGCCGTTTTTTTGTGTAGCATTTAATGTTGCAATCTGATGGTCATCTGAGTGGCAGACAGTTCGGGTGAAAGGTGGAGGAGATGGCGAAAGTGCAGCAAGTGACCGTGGGGCTGCAGTGTGATGAGCAGTCATGTTCAGCTGGATGGCCTTTAAGTAATTGGAGACTGTACATCGCAAAGCAGGTTGGATTGAGTCAGCTGGTTCCTGTATGGATTTAGCAGAGCCAGGCTTTTGATTGTTTGCCCCGTTCATCTTACTGGGTTGTACAGACTGTGTTTGGTATTTTATCTCTCTTCACCTTCGTCCTGAGGACATGCTACAGAGGTTGTAAAGGTTGAATATGTTTATTACATATGTTTATTATGTTTATTACATGTTCATTCAGCCACGTTGTGGGTGACTTTGCTGTGATCAGTGTTGTAGTCCACATATATTCATATATTAAAGATGAAGCCTCTGTTTGGACTAACTAGAAAACCCCAGTTTATCAATGTGGACATGTACTACTGCATAAAGATTAAAAGATCTAAAAACCAATAAACAACAAATACACATGGTCCACTGCAGCTTTTGAACTCCTTTCTATTTTATGTTTAGTTTATATGCTTCTTTTAACTGTTTTAATGAACATCTTCAATAAAAATAATGTGTTAAGTAATATAATTGTGAGATACCCAACATTGAAAGCCGCTTTCCTCTTTTTTTAACAGCTATTACTGTAAACGTGCACCTTTGTGCTCCTTCTGGTGTAGGTTCAAAAAGGGACTTGCATTCTTATAGTGCCCTTTACTGGAAAAACTTTAGACTGCAACACGTTCTCTAAATTGCTGATTGCCAAAGCCACGCTCACATGCTTTACATATTAAAGACACAAACATTTTTCCATGGGTACAGTAAAGTCAGCTATAGATGGAATTTAGCTATGGATGCCTTTGGAAAAGTATGTGGTGTTATTTCAGAATTTCTATAATTTTACTGAACCACTGGGACACTTGCACACTTGAGCTGTATGAGAAATGAGGTGAATTTTTTCTGAGATGGTTTGTCACATTCTGGGAAATTTACTCTGTCCATAAACAATGGATTATAATTAGGCCTAACGGTTTTTAAGGTCCCATTAAAATCCATTATTTTAACAGTAAAAGTGTATAAAACAGTATGCCTACAAATTATTTTATATTATTTAGTTCTCTCTAGTTCTCTATCAGTTCTCTTTCCCAACATGGTGATTATCACTTTTTCAGCATTGTTATCAGGTTAGTTGCCGATTACTGATGATTTTATGCAGAACAACAAGTCCTGGAAACAGGACAAACTACTTTTTTTTTTTTTTTTTTGTTTGTTTTTTTTTTTGTTTGTTTTTTTCCCCTCTACACTTGACCAGTCACCAGTTTGTCAATTTATTAACCCTAGATCTCTAGTTTAATGGGGGAAAAGATGCATCTCAGAATGCTCTAAACACTAGTGCCCAACCGATAAACCATTTGGCCGGCCAATTGCTGTATCAGTCATAATGGTTTTATCAGTAAAACTATTACTTAACGTTTATGACTCTTGTCTGGTCATGGGACCACCAGGATTCAGACTTGCATTCTTTTCAAATACAGGCTGAGCTGAAGAATCAGAATGCAAAACACCATCTTGGTTAGTAAAACAAAAACATGCCAAATATATCTGATTCAGACGTGCCAGTATTCGGTAATCTGGTTGTAACATGATATTAAACACATATGGTATTTTTATCGAGGACCCTTTAAAGTAATCTGTAATCTAGTCAAACAAGGTGCAGTTTCACCAGAGATTATTAGATGCGCAGATCAGCTCTGCTTTCCCAGGCTCCCACTACGCTGTCACAGTCTGTATTAATGATAATGTTGTGCACTGTGTTAAAAGGTTAGGTAATTATTGTGATATAATTAAGGACTGATTTTGCTGTTTATTTGAGTTTATAAAGTGGGACTATTGAGATCATAATATCAATAATATCAGCCACTATATATAACATTTTAAATTTGAGCCCTATAAAATTGTTATCAGCCTAAGCATGTTCTGGTAAGGCCCTAGTAACACTAAGTGGAATTTTGTACGCATGCGGAATCACTGTCATGTGGCTGTGTTGTTGTTATAATTATTATTATCATTATTATTATTATTATTATTGTTATTTGTCTTTTATTACTTTGTCTTTCCTTCAGCAATGTGTGAAGTGCACAGCTATATGGGGAAGACAGTGAAACTCTTCTGTTCTGGAGATTGGGATCCTAAACGTGTTCCTGTAGGAACAGAGTGCCTTGAGCCGCTCATAGCGAGCTCCCCTGCACACAAGCCCAGCCCACCACAGCGTGGATTCACAGGTAACACTGTCTGACACATCTAGGAAACTGGTTTGGGCCTGTAGAAGACCCCTGTGGCCTGAATAATTCCATTTTTTTATTTCTTTTATCTCCAGATCGTCTCTTCTATATATACACATCTGGAACTACTGGGCTGCCCAAAGCTGCTATTGTAGTGCACAGCAGGTAACTTCTCTTGTCGTCTCTTCTCTTCCTTTCTTCTCTTCTCTTCTCTTCTCTTCTCTTCTCTTCTCTTCCCTTCTACTCTTTTCACTTAACTTCCCTTCTACTCTTTTCCCTTCTCTTCTCTTCTCTCCTCTTCTACTCTTTTCGCTTCTCTTCCCTTCTACTCTTTTCTCTCCTCTTCTCTTCCCTTCTACTCATTTTCTCTTCTACTCTTTTCTTTTCTCCTCTTTTCTACTCTCTTCTCATCTCTTCTCTTCTGCTTTCTTCTCTTTTCTCATCCTTTTAACTACCTTCTATTCTCTTCTCATGGCTTTTTCTTACTTATTTTTTCTTGCTGTAACTCAGATTTATTTATTTAGCACAAAGCATCATGAAGCTACCTTTCGTAATCCTTCTGTGGATGTTGTCTATAGAAAGATTAAGTTACAAGAACAAGAAATGTAAGAATTAAGATGAAATGTAGAAATAAATGCAGAAAAATGGAATAAAACAAACCCTCTCTCTTTCTTTTTAGTGATTTCTCTTAATCACTCACCCAGTCATCTCTTTTTGGGGGGTTTCTCTGCAGGTATTACCGTATGGCTGCTCTTGTTTATTACGGTTTCAGGATGAGGTCGGAGGACGTGCTGTATGATTGCCTTCCACTTTACCACTCGGCAGGTAAGAATCTGCATTCTGGCCTCCATTGCTCTGCAATTTCCTCTCCGAGAAACGCTGCAGTGAGGGATTGAGTAGGGACTTCCTGTGTGGGAGATTACCTAAAATGCTGTATCTTAAGATATGTAGTTAATGACTATACTTTTATATTTACCTTTACTTTTACATTTACAATAGCTTGCAGATTAGCAAGGGGTTTTCCTGTGTGTGTGAATTCTACACCACAAAATTTCAAAAGAGTAAACTGTCGATCTGTTTGTGGTTTGCCTCAGGCCAAGCCCATTTTTTACAAGAGCACTGCAGTGGTCTCATCAGTTAGAGAGATAATCTAACATGATATACAGTCTTACAGGGCTAGTGAGAAGCAGACTCCCACAGTATGATTAAAAACATGCATGTGCTGCAAAAACCGGCCTGTTTGACTTTGACACTGTTGGTATATTGTCTTTCACTGAAATGGTCATATACTATTTTAGACTTTTGAACAGGCTGCTCCTGTAGATTTTGCAACTTCCTCACTAATAGAAATCTTTTGATTACCTAACTCTGGCACTCATCTTTTCTCATTTGAGATTAAAGTTTCTGTACAGGGTTCCTGCCAAAATAAACACAAACAAGATCTTCTTTCCTGCAGAGTTTAGTTCTAACTTGCATCTAAAACGCTGCCTCCTCAATACCTAACACTAATGCATAAGATCCAGCCGTTCAGGGGTTTCTGAAGAAGTTAATTAGCTGGAGCAGATGTGGCAGATTGTGGTTGGAACTATACTCTGCAGGAAGGTAGATCTCCAGGAACAGGTTGGTGACCATAATTATGCATGACTCATTGTGCTAAATAGACAGTCGCCTTACTTTCAGTGAAGCACTGAGTCATGTTATTTAAATAGGTAACTGAATTTTTTTTGTGTAGGAATTTTCTATTTTGGCCCATAAAACATAAAAAAGGAGTAAATAATGTTATTTATATAGCAACTTCATAGAAAGTGGCTAAAAGAAAGTGCTGGAAATGTGCTGGTGTATTTTAAGTGCCCAGATGTTATAAGTTTCAGATTTTATTTTTATACAGCTTCAAATATACAAACTTAATTCAACACCATTTTCTGATATGCAAAAACCATAACAGATAAAAGGCATCCTCAAGATGATTTAAGAATCACATCAGTTAAGACGAGTTAACAATCCAAAAACTGGTGTTACTGAGGTGCATCCAGATAGTCTAGTAGAGGTTGCCAGATTCTAGCAAACTGACCTAACTTTCTAGGTTTTTTTGTAAGAGTTTTCTCTTCTGTCTGACAGGTAACATTGTGGGTGTTGGTCAGTGTCTGATTCATGGCATGACCGTTGTCATCAAGAAGAAGTTTTCTGCATCAAAATTCTGGGATGACTGCATCAAATACAACTGCACTGTGAGTATCTAACATGTAGTAGCATTTTGCCTTTTTATCATTTTACTCCATTTGAAAGCGCCAGCTGCTCTTTGCGCTATGGAAAATGAGCAAATATAAGTGATCTGAAATTAAATTCTTGTTGCATTAACAACATTACAGTGTTTTTGTTTTCTTTCTCTTATGAAGCTGTCGTTTCTGAGATGCAAGATTTTGTTACGCCAGCAAAAATAGCAGTCATGTAGTTTTGACTGATTGTGAATGATCAGTTATGGGTGCTGACCGGATGCCAAATAAGTGACAGAAATGTGCCCCACTGACTTTGTCTGACAGTTTCTGTATTATCTCTGACTGTTCTTATACTTCCCCAGCTGATTTTTCACTGCTGACACAAACACAAGCATAAAAACAATACAGGACACCATTATACAGCACAATAAAGTCTGTGCCATGTAACATCCACTCACGAGCAGTAAGTCTGGATGAAGATATAGAAAAGAAGAATATGTGCAGTTACATCATAAATTGGCTGCATTGTAAGGTAAAACAGACTCTAGGCCATGAACTATCTGCATTATAACTGGGTTAATTCCAAAGACAGACTCTTTTATGTCTTGGTTGACCTTTGTTGTATGTCGTAAATTACCTTTATTGACATGCTGTTAAACCAGTTAGTCTTATTATATAATAAATAAGCGTGTAAATCTTACTTCAGTTAGATTGTTTTAACAGTTTAGTGGATCATATCTCATTCTACCACAGTTAGATTATTTTGGTATGATTCATAAAGATTTTTTTAAAATACTGAATACACAATGTGACTGGAGGAAATATTTATACAACAGTGGAATACAATAATACAATACTAAACGATATACCAGGCTTTTCTGTATATGTGTATATATGTGTACATTATATAAGCTCAATTCAAAAGAGATGTTTATACCGTAGCTATTCAAATAAAACCAGAAAGCAGTGATTTTTCAAATATACTTTGAAAACAGCATAAAAAAAAAGGAAATTATTTTTTTCCTTTTGAACTTCATTATTTTTTGCAAATACATGCTCATTCTGAAATTGTTGCCTGCAACACATTCCAAAAAAGTTGTGATGCAACTTAAGACTAGAAATGTGCAATGTTCCAAAAAAATTGGTTAGAAAAGGAGCATCTAGGAAAATCAAGAGTCCTTTATGAACAAGAATGGATCCAGGCTCGCCACTCGCCAAAAATGCAATTCCCAAAGAGCATTTGCAAGGATTGTGAATATTTCACCCTCTGCAGTGTAGAATATCATTAAAAGATTCATGGAATCCTGACAAATCTCAAAAAAACAATATTGAATGTGAAAACACTAAAAACTGTCATGCTTCTGTAATGAATATAACCACATGCTCTCTGGAATTTTTTTTTAAAACATTTGTCAGTACTTTTTTATGCAAAGCAGAAATGATACATTAATAACATCCAGAAACTCCGCCGACTTCTGTGGGCTAAAGCTCATCTGAGATGGACTAAGGCAAAGTGGAAATGTGTGCTGTGGCCTAACGAGACCACCTTTCAAATTATTTTTGCTTCTTTTGGAATGTCTGTCATGGAATGGCGGTGTTTTAGTGCCAATGGCATGGATTATTTGCACGTGTGAAGGCACCATTCATGCTGAGGGATACATACGCATGAATGGCTTTTACTTCCACTCTTACTTACCCCCATTAAGTCATTAACTCATTACAATTTTATGTGTGCTCCTTTGGCAATAAACTGGACTAACGTAACTCAGAATGCAACTCACTAAACAAGAGGAGAGGGAATCAGCATGGTTTGCACTGTTTGTACGTCATGTTATCTTCATTTATGTGCATACCGGTGTAACGGTAATGACAAAACTTATACCTTGAAAAGGATTTCAACTGCTATTCAAGATCAACCAGTATATCGCCCATTACTAGTTGAAAAATTAGTTTTGTTACATTAGTAACGTAATGAGAGCTCAACAGGCTGCACCATGTGATGGCAGCAAGTTGAGGTGGGTGGCGGGAGGATCACGGTTTTGTCTTCCAGAAGAGCGTCACGAGACTGTGGACGTTGGTATCGTGGTTCCAGTTTCGGTTTCAGAATTGTTGCGCCCTAAGAAAACCACACAGATGTTGTTATTAGTAAAGTACAGGGGAAAAGAATTCAAAACAAATGTTTGATCATTTGACAGCCCTAATATTATTATAATTGATGTGACATTCCAAAATTGATTTACTGGCAAATTCAGACAAGATTAGCTATATTGAAATTTCCCGCTCAGAATTGAAATTATGACTAAAAAAAAAACCATTTACCATCCATTCCTCTTTTTCCCTTTTTTCCTCTCTCTCTCTCTCTCTCTCTCTCTCTCTCTCTCTCTCTCTCGCTCTCGCTCTCGCTCTCGCTCTCGCTCTCGCTCTCTCTCTCTCTCGCTCTCTCTCTCTCTCTCTCTCTCTCGCTCTCGCGCTCTCTCTCTCTCTGTCTGTCTGTCTGTCTGCAGATCGTGCAATACATCGGAGAGATCTGCCGGTATCTGCTGAACCAGCCAGTGCGGGATACGGAGCAGCAGCACCGCGTGCGCATGGCGCTGGGAAACGGCCTCCGCCAGTCTATCTGGGAGGAGTTCATGCAGCGCTTCAACGTGCCCCAGATCGCTGAGTTCTACGGAGCCACGGAGTGTAACTGCAGCCTCGGCAACTTTGACAACCAGGTGAGCCGAGGCCTGGGCCCAGAGCACTTCAGAACAAGAGCCTGGAAAGAAAGAGAGTCCATTAGCAGCACACATACATACACACACAGTGTGAGGTCTTTTTGCTCTTATCATGCTGAAGCTTCACTGGCATACCTAGCATTTCATGTCCAAATACAGTATATTGGCACTACATGCTGCCATTGTGTACATGTGCACGCACACTTACTCTCACTCTCACTCCTGTGCTGATCTCCGGATGCTGGCTAATGCATTTTTAAGAGGATGTGTGTGCATGTCTTTAGTGGCTGGAGTCATTTTAGTTGAGTGGACGTCTAGAGGTTTTTCTTGCTATGCGCTGGACAAGCTCGTTCCAAACAGAATGGTCATTACTCATAATGCCCAGCTAAGCATACAGTTGTATGTCTGTCAATTTTCACAATTGTTTTGATTTTCCTATTTGAAAATAAGTACATATCCTTTACAGAGAACACACTTCTGCACTCTTTAATGCACAATTACTGTTTACTTGCTGAATTTAACTTTGGAAGTAAATAAAATGTGACCTGTGCAAAAATTTTATGTTGTATTTTTTGCAGTATGTTGAACTCACCAAATAAATAGAAATTGTGAATTACAATTTGGAGAAATGTGTAATTTGTAGGTGTGTTCTCTGTAGAGGATGTGTCAACTTATTTTCGCTTAGAAAACCAACAAAATGTGATTTGACGGGGCGTTCAAACTTTTGTTTTGATCAGACTGTTTTTATTTCTTATGATGAATGATTCTTATTCAGTGCTGCGAACATTAACCAGAAAATTTGTTTTTGATCAGTGTTTACACATTTTAAACTTCTTTTACAAAGAGGCTAACGTTAAAAATGCATAAACATGATAAATAGTTAATAGTTATAATTATTCATAATAAATCTTTATAGTTTGACCCTTCAAACCATCCATAGTAGCACAGGCTGAAGCCCAGCTATGATAGAACCGATTGTGGCCCTCATTCAAAAACAGCTTTCAAAGCAGTACTTTTAGCACCTTCAGCAGAAGACACTGGAGTGCTCACAGGAGAGCTGTGGTCAAATCAAAGAACAGCAAACTAAAAAAAGCAACAGCAAAGTGGAGCTCCAGTTCCTCTCAAGAGACTCCACTGTCACAAGAATCCACAAGCTGTATGACTGAGAGTGAGAGGCTACAGTCACGGAGGAGTTGAACCATTGACAGATGCCGCTGTTGCTCACAAGATAATGTGATTAATTGTGAGTGATTATTTTAATCATATGACAGCCCAACAAATTTAAAGCACACTGCGACATGACAGAAAATCAGCATTGTTTAGGTGATACCTGTACTCGTATACTAGCGTCATATAAATGATAAATTAGCCCACAACTAGAGGAGGAATTTGGCAATTCATGCATCAAACTCTGAAAGGGTCTTAAGGAAGTAATGGCATTCTTTACTGAAGAACAGTGACTGACTGTGCTTGTGTGGTCTGAACAGACTGGTGCCTGTGGCTTCAACAGCCAGATCCTCCCCTATGTCTACCCCATCCGGCTGGTCAGAGTGAATGAGGAGACCATGGAGCTCATCAGAGGACCAGATGGAGTGTGTATACCGTGTGGTCCAGGTTAGCATCACCACACACATACAAACAACCGGACACCTTAAATTCATAACATAAAGAGCATAATGTGCGATGTTGGATGCAATTTAGGGACATTATCATCAGCTTTTGTATGCGTTCTTTATTGGTCCTGCCAAAAACAGGTGACTGGTACTTTTCAGCACTACAGGGATGTGGAATTTAAAACTGCTTAATAATCTTGTCTTCTTATATATGACCAGTAGACATCAACTAATCTTTTTTGGTGGTTTTATTCCAAGGAAAATAAATGGGATGCAAATAAACTGTATAAAAAGTCAAATTGTTTGAAAGCAGAAAACTGTGTGCACCACAGTGAATGAATTTTTCATGGAATTTTCTTCTGCTGTTTGGGCTGTAAAAATACAAGCAATTGGGCAGAATGTCTTAAAATGTAGGCATATTTCCATTTTAGAATGTGTAAGCATTTGGCTGCGTCATTCTGTGGCCAAAACTTTTAGCTCTTTTATGTTTTGTTTTGTTCAGGATTTGAATGCATCATCCACTAATAACAGGAAACCTTTGACAGCTATGCCACTTTGGGGCCCCTTCTAAACCTCTTTTTAATAAAAAATACAGTCATTCTAGTACTGAAGCTATGCACATTATACTCATAAAAACTTGGTGATCACCCCTTTTGAGGGCCAAAAAAAAGCTGTAGTATGTGTCTTATTTCAGGCTGGTGTTAATGCTCTGGGTTCCTGGTATTCCTCTAATCCCAGCATGCTTGCTGTTCTTTCTCTCTGTCTCTCTCTGCTCCATTCACAGGTGAGCCTGGTCAGCTGGTGGGCAGAATCATTCAGAATGACCCCTTAAGACGCTTCGATGGTTACGTGAACCAAACAGCCACCAATAAAAAGATTGCACAAAGTGTCTTCAAGAAAGGAGACAGTGCCTACCTGTCAGGTTTGTTCTCCAAACCTGCACACACTCCAAAACTGCCTGTGTTTATAAACTAACAGCTCTTCATGGCCTGTTTAATTATATTCATGATAAATCAGCACTTCTGAGCAGTTTGATTAGTATATTTCTGACCTCCTGCTCTGCCCTCAAACATGATGTAGACATACACTGTCCATAAAGGTTGGGAACAGCTGGCTTTTCAAAATGTTCTGGATGCAAACTTCAATATTAAAGATGAAACAGGTTTATTTAGAGAGCAAACATGTGTAAAATGGGTTGAATTGGGATTTTGGAGGTGGGGGTGATCAAGATCTGTGAACAGTCTTCAATTTATGTGGTATTATGTGAAGTTCTCAGCACTATCGTAAAAATGTTATTAAAATGAATAGCCTACCTGTTTCTGTCTTAATGGCTTGAAGAAGTCAGTTTATTTACTTGGCTGTTTTTAGTATTCCCTGTTTGTCAGATTTGGCAGCAGAATATCAAAATATCTGTCTTTTCTAGCAAAGATGAAAGCTACTAAAAGGTTAGGGCCAAATTTATTTAGCAAGTTAAAACTTCACAGAACCGCAGAAAGGAGGGCTTAATAATTATTTGATTGTGAAAATTTGTAGAATGATACAAGGAGAATGTGGCACTTAAACATGCAGTGGCAAAAAACATGGAGGTGGGGTGCGGGGAACTGTTTAAGGGTTTAGTGCAATCTATCACATCAAATATTTAGATGAATTTCACAAAGACTGTACGTAGTAGTGGGCAATTCACCAGGTATACTAATTGAAATTCTTCCTCAGGTATGAGTTTTGTCAGAATGGTTATGCCAATATTCAATAAATAAGTGAAGATTAATATGACAAACGTACAAACGGTGCAAACCATGCTAACGTTATCACCTCTGACTGAGTGGCTGAGTCAGGGGTGTTTTAGTCATGTTTCAAATAAAAATGAAAACGCTGGAGACCCTCAATCACCTCACACTGTCTAGTCCATTGCATCTAAAATAGTACACTTTGTTTTTAAGGCAGTGGACGTAAAGGAACAGTCTTAGATTAGGCTAAAGGCTTAACATGGACAAAGTGATTTGCCACACTTTCACTTTTCCCAACTGAGAAGCCGCCAGACTCGGCTAGCTGCATCAGACAATTGCACAAAATAAACCATGGATTAGCTTATACAGCTAACAGTATCAGTAGCAGTGTCTGATGGCTGGAGGAGCGAGTATATGGGATTATGGGGCGCATGTATGGGACAAATTGAGAACTTGAGAAATTCAGTGAAGCTGAAGTTTGCTTCTTATTTGAATTTTTTTCTTTTTTTTTTTATGTATATATTCTGTGATCTACACCAAAACCATCAGAAGTTGTAATTGTACCATACAATAAAGATTTGGCCACTCACTACTAACTGTACTGGAATTTTGGTTGGATTTCCTTTTCCCTCAAATTTCAGTACTGGAGCTCAGTTCTCTTTCCTTTTTACTAACAAGAGATCCTAATTTAAACCATGCGTGTTAATGTTTATGCCAGTTTTAGTGACAGAAATATTTTGGGAATAACACCAAGAGCCACTCATTGTATCTTGTTGTGATGTCAGCAGTCACATCTTTTTTGGGCCAAAAGATTTCGATCTGTTCTTTTAAAAATAGTGTGAAAAAAAAGAAAACTGTCAAACTTTTATTGAGACACAACCTGCTCTTCATACCAGTGAAGACACTTTGATGATCATGAAGCGAAGTGTTGAAGATTAATATACCCAGAACTTCAGCACAGAGCTGTTATTAAATGTACTGTTATGTTTGGAGCTCTTGTGTTCCCAAGCTTTGGATGAGTGTAGATTTGCCGCATAAGAATAATCCTGTTTTCCTGCTCCTCTCCAGGAGATGTGCTGGTGATGGATGAGTACGGCTACATGTACTTCAAAGATCGAACAGGAGACACGTTCCGCTGGAAGGGAGAGAACGTGTCCACCACTGAGGTGGAGGGCACACTGAGCCGTCTGCTGGACATGAAGGACGTGGTGGTGTATGGCGTGGAGGTGCCAGGTACAGAGATCTGTTCTTTTTTTCTGCTCTCATCTCCTCACTTTCTGTCTGTTTGACTGCGTCTCCCTTTCTTTGTTCTTTGTCATTCATTCTTTCATTGTTTTGTTTTTAAATCTGATTTATCATTGTTATGAGTTATTAAATGTGGGCCACATCTTTCTTTCTGTCTTTTTCTTTCTTACTGTCTGTCTACCTGTGTCTCTCTCTGTCTGTCTTTCTTTTTCTTGTCTTTTTTCTTTCTTTCTTGGTTTTTATGCCACCGCGCGCGCACTCTCTCTCTCTCTCTCTCTCTCTCTCTCTCTCTCTCTCTCTCTCTCTCTCTCTCTTTCTTTCTTTCTTTCTTTCTTTCTTTCTTTCTTTCTTTCTTTCTTTCGTTTTGTGCCTTCTTTTTTTCACCCCCCCCCCTCGCTCTTTCCTTCCCCTCTCTCTCTCTCTCTCTCTCTCTCTCTCTCTCTCTCTCTCTCTCTCTCTCTCTCTCTCTCTCTCTCTCTCTGTAATAGGCTGGTTTAGATGTGAACGTATCTGACACTTCCTTGCGTTGAAGGCGTTGCATGTTTTCTGAAGCGTGAGCTGCTGCGTGTCTCTGAAGCGGAAGGCTGAGTTGTGTAATGCGGCTCTGCTGGCAGGAGCAGTGCAGTCTGCTGTAGCTGCAGTGATGCTTTACGAGGCTATGTGTGGTTATGGTTGGGAGTCTCTGTGCTGTGCCACTGTAACACTGCTGAGCTCAGCTGAGCTCTCTGCTGCTCTGGCTGGATCCCGTCCACCTGTATCAGGACTCTATTGTTCGGTCCTGGGAGGGGTGGGCGTGGTTATGTGAATGTACGGATATCTACACTCATTTTAGGTGTCTGTTGGTATAAGCAGTGAAATAATCGTGTATTTTCTTGGCATTTTTAATGTTTTAATGAGGGTGCGAAGCAGAGAATGTGGGCACACAAGCAACTGATATTGCTGATACTTCGTGACATCTAAAGCTATATATGGAAATATTTCCATTAAAAAGATTTAAGTCACACAACTAAGTTATCATTGTGACACTTAATTGATATTATTATTATTATTATTATTAAATAATATTCTTCATGTCATATGCCAACTATATTCACTAAACAAATGTTAAACCATTCATGTTTGTTTATATTCATAACAATTTTAATCTCATTTCAATATACAAATACTATTTATATATTTATATTCAGGTAGCAAGAAATGGTTGAAATTGCTGACCTTAGTAGCTACTTTACTGAGTTACTTGCTGTTTGATGAACATCACTGCATTTTGCTGTCTAAGTTTCTGATTCACCAACATAAACAAGATGCATTCATGATTCTTTGGTTTCCAATCTGCCTCATTTGGTTTTAGCTGTAGCGTTCTAACATGTTAGTCAGTTTAGGCTTATTCCAGTTAAACAAAAAAAAAAACAACCACGTTCGCCGACGAGTAGGAGCAGAAAGCCAGGGAGAGGAATGAGCAAAGCACAGAGTGCATCTGCCAGGCCTAAACAATCCCCCACTTTTACGACACAGTTGACAGTCTGGTGGAGAGGTAATTAGTGCCACTGAAAGGCAGTATGCCGCAGGAACATGTGTAAGACGTTTATTTAACTCCAGCTTTTGTAGAATTCTACACAGCCTGTAGTTGAGTTTACACTGGGAAAGTGTTCCCTGTAAGTTCTTTATCAGTGACTAATGATTTGGCAAGCCCGTGATCATTCCGTTCTTATCCGCTTTGTTGTAATCCAGAGTGAGTCAGCAGCTGCTTCTCAGTTCCTGGCTCTGCTTACCTGATTTAAGATCTGTTACAGCACTGCCATGTTTTTTGTTTTTTTTTAACAGCATTGACGCTGTTAATGGGGTGTGTGTGTGTGTGTGTGTGTGTGTGTGTGTGTGTGTGTTTTTCATCCATGTCTAATGTGGCCATAATTCTCTGATCTCACGATGATTCAGTTAAGTTATGTTTCTTTAGGAAATAAAATGGTGTAAATTTCCAAAACCATTTACATAGTAGAGGAGTACAGCAAGCTTTTCAAGATGCGCTTGAACCACCACCTTCAGACTGATGGATCACAATGAAGTTTTAAATGTTGTTTAAATGTCTGTGGCCATTCTTCTTCAGGTGCGGAGGGAAAAGCTGGCATGGCAGCCATTGCAGACCCGGACAACACCACAGACCTGGAGAGGTTCAGCAGGGAGCTGGAGAAGGCCCTGCCTGTGTACGCACGGCCCGTGTTCCTGCGCTTCCTGCCAGAAGTCAACAAGACAGGTGAGACTCTTGTGCGTTCGGTTTGCTCCAGTCCGGGGAGACTCCTGCACCGGTCAGTTTTCAAGAAAGTTGAGTCATGTTTAATCAAGGGTGAAAAATGCAAAACCACAGTTTTAAAGCGGTAGTTCAGCCCAAAATCAATGAGTTGCCAAGGTGTTACTAGGCCATTGCTATAGTAACCCAGGTGGTTGCTAAAATGATGCCATGTTATCCCAGATGACTGCCAAAATGTTGCTAGGCTGTTGCTATGGTAACCTAGGTGGTTGCTAAGGTGTTGCTGTGTTATGCCAGATGACTGCTTCGATGTTGCTAGGCCGTTGCTGTGGAGTCTTGGGTGGTTGCTAAAATGTTGCTGGGCTGTTGCTATGGAGTCCCACCTTGTTGATAAGGTGTTGCTGTGTTGTCTCAAGTGACTGCTAAGATGTTACTAGGCTATTGCTGTGGAGTCCCAGGTGGTTGCTTGGGTGTTGCTAGGCTGTTGCTATGGAGTGCCAGATGGTTACTATGGTGTTGCTATGTTATCCCAGGTAACTGCTAAGATGTTGCTAGGCCATTGCTATGGAGTCCCAGGTGAATGCTAAGATGTTGCTAGGCTGTTGCTATGGAGTCTCAGGTGGTTGCTAAGATGTTGCTAGGCTGTTGTTATGGAGTCTCAGGTGGTTGCTAAGATGTTGCCAGGCTGTTGCTGTGGAGTTCCAGGTGGTTGCTAAGGTGTTGCCAGGCTGTTGCTATGGAGTGCCAGGTGGTTGCTAAGGTCAAGTCAAGTCAAATTTATTTGTATAGCGCTTTTTACAACTGATGTTGTCACAAAGCAGCTTCACAGAAATCCATTAAGGACAAAGTTTTAACATGAAATGTAAATCCTCCAGGTGAGCAAGCCAGGGGCGACAGTGACAAGGAAAAACTCCCTCAGAGCTGAGGAAGAAACCTTGGGAGGAACCAAGGCTCACATGGGGGGACCCATCCTCCTCTGGTCAAACTACCTACAAAATTATTATACTACTAATATTAATAGTAGTAGTAGTAATAGTTAGAAGTCCACTTCAGTGTAAGGTGGGCAGCTAGTCCAAGGCAGGTGGCGGTAGCTGGGCAAGTGGCGGTGACTGGGGCGTAGGCAACTGGTCTGAAGCAGGTAGCAGGAAAGCTCGACAGACAATCATCCATCAGTGTCTGGCCGGACAGGTGGGCAGTCGTTTACTCAGAAAAAAGGTAGGGAGATGGAGTTAGTTTAGTTCTGTATGGGTGTATGTATAATAATACGTAAAATTGTGTGGCTAATGACTCCAGCAGATCTGACTATAACAGCTTAACTAAAAGGAGAGAACCAAAAGGGCACACAGATACGGGAGCACCCTGAAACAATTTGGCATCCCTCCCCTCCACTGTCCACAAACCTGAGTGATCGCATGCGAGCGGCGGGACGAGAGCACCGGCGTCTCAGTTTACTATAATTCCCTGCGTCCATGAATCCCTGGATCTGCTGCCTTTGTCTAAGGGGAAACATCAACTACCAAAAGCTAAACTAAACAAGTGAGTTTTCAGCCTAGATTTGAAGATTGCGACTGAGTCTGAGTCACGAACATTTTCTGGAAGATCATTCCAGAGTTTGGGGGCTTTATAAGAGAAGGCTCTTCCCCCAGATGAAACCTTCTGAATTCTGGAAACTATTAAAAAGCCAGCACTCTGTGATCTAAGTAATCGTGGTGGCTCGTAATGGGAAATAAGGTCTTGCAGGTACTCAGGAGCGAGCCCATGTAGGGCTTTGTACGTCAATAAAAGAATTTTGTAATCAATACAGAATTTAACAGGCAGCCAATGGAGTGATGATAGAACTGGACTGATATGATAAAATTTTCTAGTTTTAGTGAGAACCCTGGCTGCAGCATTTTGAACTAGTTGAAGTTTACTTAAATTCCTGCTGGTGCATCCTGATAGTAGTGCGTTACAATAGTCTAGCCATGAAGTAATAAAGGCATGTACTAATGTTTCTGCATCGTGCAGCGATAAGGCATTTCTTATTCTGGCAATATTGCGAAGATGTAAAAAAGCTGTCCTAGTGATACTGCCTATGTGTTGATCGAATGATAAATCTGGATCAAGTATGACACCAAGATTTTTTGCTGCTGAACCAGGTATAACTGGGAAGTCAGCGAGATTTAAAGTTAAATCTGATCATTTATTTCTTGCCACTTTTGGACCCAGAAGGAGAACCTCTGTTTTGTTACTGTTTAGAAGGAGGAAGTTACGCAACATCCAACCTTTCACATCTTTTACACAATCCTCTATTTTCTTTAGCCTGTATTTGTCATCAGGCTTGGCTGATATGTATAATTGCGTATCGTCTGCGTAACAGTGAAAGTTAATGCCATGGTTACTTATAACTGTGCCTGACGGTAACATGTATAATGTAAATAATAATGGTCCTAAAATAGAGCCTTGCGGAATTCCAAATCTTACTTGTGAATAATTGGAAGATAAGTCATTTACCTTTACGAACTGATAACGTTCCGTTAAGTAAGATTTGAACCATGACAGGGCTGTCCCTGTGATTCCAACCATGTTTTCTAACCTTTCTAGGAGAATATTGTGGTCTATCATATCGAAAGCTGCACTGAGGTCAAGTAGCACCAACAGGGATATGTAGCCTTGATCAGAGGCAAGAAGATCATTTGTTATCTTAAGAAGATCATTTGTTATCTTAACAAATGATGTTGCTATGTTATCCTAGGTGACTGCTAAGGTGTTGCTAAGCCATTGCTAAGCCATTGCTATGGTATGCCAGGTAGTTGCTAAGGTGTTGCTAGGCTGTTGCTATGGTATACAGGGGGTTGTTAAGGTGTTATAAGGCCATTGCTATGGTATCCCAGGTGGTTACTAAAGTGTTGTTGGTCTGTAGTGTGATGTCTCTCTCTCTTTGTGTCTCTCAATTTGGGTCTGTCTTTGAGAATGCAGTATTAATTCTTTGCTTCTCTCCGCCCTGTCTTTCTCCCTCTCCCTCTCAGGGACCTTCAAGTTCCAGAAGACGGACCTGCGTCGAGAGGGCTTTGACCCATCCGTGGTGTCCGACAGGCTGTGTTTCCTGGACTGCAGTAAGGGATGCTACGTGGAGCTAAATGCAGAACTCCACCGTAGCATCGTCTCAGGAAAGCAAAAACTGTGAGGCCACTGCCGACCCCGCCACTTCCTCATAAAACCCCCGCCTTCTCCCACCCCGTGCCCCGCCCCTCGTTACCTCAGCAACCACAGTGAGGGGCAACAGGAACACATTCAAAGTCACATTCGAGTTCCACATCAGATTCATCCGTTCTGACAGCCGGAGTGCGTCGCATGGAATGGCACATGGACTAAGACACACAAACACTGAAGCTTTTTGCTCCTTTGCCTAATCTGCACAATGGCTGCTGGCCCGCCCAGATGTTGGTTTTTTAAAAAGGGCATTTCCCTTCTATTCGGTATAGGGGTTTAAAATCAAGTGTCTACCTGAGTGCACCCTAAAGCCCTGCTTCTGCTCAGCTATGGAGGTGGTGGATGTAACCAAAACTGCATGGATTATCGTGCAATATCAGTCCAGCCCTGGCAGAGCAATAGACAGCCATAAAAATGACTCAATTAATGCTATTTATTTAATTCTATTCATGCACCAAATATATTTAAGTTGTAGAGTAGATTACCATCTATTTATAAGTCAGTGTGTAAGTGTATTGTTAACATCAAGCCTCTGTGCTACATTGTCTGTGTGCTGTATGTTTGCCAAAACTGTGCCTGGCTAACTCCTCCAGACCTGTAGAGGGCAGTCTTTCTGTTTGTTTTGGGTGGGGAAAAACACTGCGTAAATGCGCTTTTATTTTGTCTTTTGGTGATGGCGTATGAACATGTGGAATGTACCCGCGGTGTGCAGTAGCATTGTGCAGACTGGGCTCGAAGAGTTGGCTTCGATTTTGTTTTGACACATTGGTGGATTTCTCTAGAAGTCTTTGCATGGAGGCTCGTGAGAGGAATACTACGCTCCGGTGCTACAGAACGCCACCATCTCGTAGCAGCGTCCCCTCAAGGCTGAGCAAGCCTGGCAAGGAGAAAGGAGAAAAGAAAGGGAACAAAATTGCTCCGTCATTCTTACCACCCCATTTGTCTTGTGTTTTAATTGCAGCATCATGAATGATCAACACAAACAGAGCACTGTGCCTTACTATGAGCTCAGCACCTGGTCTTATAGGCCTGGTCCCAATCCACTTCTCCATAACCCCTCACTGTCTAATTCCATCTTCCCTACTTTTCGCCAACTTGCTTTGTCCACTTCCTAGGCCCCTTCTGCTTGTCCTAAACATGCTGAGTCATGTTTGGCTGTGCCCCCCTCCCTTTGACTTTCCCTTTAGATTTTATCTTACTTCCTCTGGTGCACCTCTGTTTGATCTCACTCCTTAACACGAAGTTTCACTCACTCCGTCCATTGTGTGTGTCCCTCTAGGTACCCCCACTATCATTGGAATCCTTTTTTTCCCATTATTCAGCACTCGTTTCAGTCTCCTACCCCAAAGCTCCACATAGACACTAGACATGAATCTCCTCATTAGTCAAAACATCATGTGTTTAATTGTGACAGTGGGAGTGAAAACGTTGGATAGCTAAATTCTCCCACAAAGCCGAAGCAGTGGACCGGATTTTTCCCTTTTATTCCCTGTTATCACTGATGACGCCTGTTAATTTATTTATATGTGTGTGTGTGAGTGTGAATGTGCACATAAGAGGAAACGGCTTCTTGTGACAGCTCTTGCGTTAGTCTGAGTCACTGTTTTTTGTTTAATGCCAGAGCCCTCATTGAACCAAGTTCAGTACAAAGGGAAGACGGTTAGATGTGTTATTTGGAGGTGAGCAGGAGGGCACAATGGGTTGTTTCGAAACTTTGAACTCTCAGTTTAGGTCAGGGCAGCAATGGCATTGGTCATTGAAGTTGTAAGGTGAGGTTTTAGTAGGGCCTGATCGATATATTGGTTGGCCGATAATATCAGCCAATATTGAGGTTCCGCAGACCTTAGTGAAATTCCCACTGAGGAAATACTGATCATTATTGGCTTGTTTTATATTGTAAGCCTCTCGCAGGAACAAGTCACTTTTGAGGAATTGAAATACATCTTGCATCCAAACCTGACCTTCAGCAAGTGGATAGGATGTTGATGTAAAATAACTGAATAGAACCATAACAGAAACCAAGACGCAAAGAATTCTAGAAAGTTCCAGCCTCATGCTACAATATGTTTATTTAAAGGCCCCATATCGAAACTGGATTTCTCTCACTTTTTTAAGTAGACTTTTAAAGGAGTGATATCTAAACAGTTTTAGAGTTTCAAAATGTATGTGGAAACTGAGCTGCAGAAAAACAGACCATTTTGATTTTAGTTTCTGTAATGTTGGAAGAACCAACACTTTTACATATGTCCACCTATTCAGCCTAGCAGTTTAGTTTCAGCTCTAAGTGCTTTTTGAATAAGGCACAGAACAGCCAATCAGAGCAGAGTTCACTTAAGTTTATCAGTCTTAAAGGCACAGTAACAAAAACAGCCTGAGTAGTAAAAAGGGATAGAGAGACGTTGGAAAATGGTCATTTAAAAATTGATTATGACCATTTTTGGGAATACAGAAAAAAATGAAGCATATGTCTCCATGTTGGATGGTTGACTAGAGAGAAGGCATTCTCAAAACTGATTGTTCAGATGTGGATGACGTAGGGTGCTCCTAAAATACAAAGTGTTAAGTTTTTCAACTTAAATGCGCATCTTAAGCCTGCTTCTCAAACTATTGGTGTATAAAAATGTAAACATAAATATAAAAATATTGAATTATACTGCCCAATATTATCAGTTATTTTAACATTTTTACTCTGTATCTGTCATTTTTTGTATTGGTCAGGCCCTAGTTTTGGCCAATCAGGTGCAGCCATGCCGTCTACCGCACTCCGCTGTCTAAACTGCAACTTCTTTTGTCATTTAAATTATGTTAAGAGACTGGTGGATTTGTTCATAATTGTAATGACTGGACCTGTATTGTTCTGCTCAAGCGTGTTTGGGTTCTCTTTTAGTTTCTTTTTCTTTAAATCTCTTGTCATTGTTCTGTGTGAGTGAGAGAGAGGGCAGACACACATTAGCTCCCAATCTAAGGCAGATTTGAGACTCGGCACAAAGCCATCAGCTTTATCCCTTTTTTTATCGGGTTTCTGTCTCAGCTGTGAATAATTGTGTGTTTGCACGTGTGCGTATCTGTGCACATGCAGTCCTATGACAGCAAAGAGTCTTTGTAGGCAACTTTGCTGAGGCATCTCGCAGTAAAACTCTCAGTTCCAGAAGCTTGTCTTCATTCATAAACACTCAGACTCGCATACATGCAACACTGTCATAACAAAACCTTACAGCTCCAAACAGAAACTTTGAGATTCACACAATGTAAACGGAAGCTGGTGTTTTCAAATGGTTTAAAAAACCAATGGGGAAAAATAGAGATTTTGATATGACAGTCATGACCTGCAACTCCTAGGAAGAAATCCAATTAAAAAAATGAATCAAGTCTTTGAGTCGGTATTCTTGCAGCTGTGTTTCAGTGAAATCAAGGAAACTGGTTTGTGCAACTGTGAATACAAAATGCAAAAAATAAGTGTGAATAATCAAAGACTGAATATGCTGTTCTCCAATGTCATTCAGTTGTCCAACATTTCAGTCGTCCTTAAAGTTGCACTATGTAAGTTTTGGGGCTTTGGAGACCTCTCTGGTGGAAATGTGTAACTGCATGCAACGTGCAGGACATTTTGTAACGTTGATTGTGCTGCAGACCTCTTTCCCAAATTCGAATCTGGAAGAGTTTTCAAAGAGAACTCTGTCAAAAGTTGAACAGTGTCTTCTGAATATGTAGGTGAAATATCGACTATTGTCATCGTCGTCGTCATAATGTTGATTTTGCATTTGAAACCTAAACATCGAGCCAGACTTTCTTTTTGAGGCTTGTGGCTTTGTGAGAGGCTTTGTGAGAGTTTAATACGTAAAGACATATTATGCGTTCTAGAACAGTTCCACTACAATTATTAAATTATTATTTCGGGTTTTACAGGGTGACTCACACCAGCACACATGCTATATTTTAGGGGTGTTTTTGTCTCCTGACAAATCTTACATAGTGCAGCTTTAGGACTACACAGCTTCAAGTTATCTGCTTTCAGGCTGAAGGGGGTTGCAAATGAATGTGGGGGTGAGTGTGATTTTAATTCTGTAAAGCAGATGTGGGCTGAGGAAAAACAGGATGCAGTTCCAGCTCTCATCCTGCAGGGGGTGCGGTTACCACTCTTTTGACCAAAATCTTGTATTGCTCCATTCCATAAACACTGACAGCTCAGAATGGCTGCTTCACTCTAAGCTCTTGCTGATGTACCAATGTCTTTTCTTTTGTTATCATAAATTTATATTTTAATTGTGTTTTGATATCTTGACTTTTACGTCTTGCTGTGAGAAGACACTGTCTTTTTAATGTTAGCTTTATTTGCTAAGCTGCAAAGGACCAAGGAGGGATTAGCCTGCAGAAGCTGCATTTGTGGGTTAGCAAGCCCACTTTTGTCTAGCAGTTTGTGAAGATGATCACTTTTGAAATGACTTTTGGTTCCGTTTAAGACTGTTTTAAACTAAATACATTTGCTTATTCACCAATGAATTCAGCTTTGCAGTATACTTGCCCTTTTTTATCACAAAAAAACGGTTTACTTCAAACACTGACTAATGGACTCTACATTATAGCCACATGTGTGGTGCTAAGCCCTCAGACCACCAGGAACCTTCTGCATGTTGCAGATGACTAAAAATAACTACTAAAATGGCTGCCTAGGAAGCAGGAATGTTCATTTTGTTTTTGTTCTGAAAATTGAACGTTGATCTTGTCACTCTAATCAGTCTGCTGGTCATAAATGCACCTTTTTTGATGTTTCTTGTTTTCTGTTTGGTACTCAGGAAAAACATCTTGCAGTTGTAGATCAGAAAAGGGAAAAGCGTGTTAGGCCGGTGGCTCGGTTAGTGAATAGTGCAGTGTGTGTGTGTGTGTGTGTGTGTGTGTGTGTGTGTGTGTAGGGGGAGGTGTGTGAGGTGTGCAGTGTCGCACTGAAGTCCTCTTGTCTCAAAGACTTAGCTGTAAATCATGCTCTGAAGAAGAAAAACAAAACATGGCATCTGAAAATCAATATTAATAAAAAATAAAGAAACTGTTGAGTATGGTGGATATTTTTATTGCCAGCTGTTTAACAACATGAAAATTCATTACTTCTATGAAGACTTGAAGAGGACCAGGGGTGGAAAATGCTTTTGGAAGGTTTGTATTTTTGCTCAAGTACTATTGAAATTGAACAATTGTACTTTTACACAGTTACAGTTTTATTTAGACCTTAAAAGTGCATTGTATTGATTTAATTAAAACCAGAGGAGAAACCTCAGAAGGCCCTCTAGGCCTTCAGAAAAGGAGTAATGATTTCTTTAATAAATACATATCTGCAATTTTTCATTAATTTTTATTTAATATAGTCATTACTTGTGTATTTAAACTCTGCAGATGTTGTATTAATACGCTTATTTGATTTTTTAACTTGCCTATAAACAAAAGGGTTAAATTCTTGAAACTTAAATTCTTGAAGATTCTCCAGTCAGGACAATCTGTTTGTGTAGACACAGCCATGCTAGCTCTCCTCTCGGTTAGGACTGAACTGAACTGAGAGCTGAAGTGAGGGATTAAGGAGTCAAATTAACCCCAGCATAATTAGAAAGTGGAATCAACTAATCATGTTCTGATTTCGGTGGGACCCATTTTGTGAGGAAAAATGTTCCTCTAGGCCTTCTGAAAGTTAAGGATACGTCACTGACTGAATATTAGCAGTAGGTTAACCAGGTTTCAGTCTGTTGTTAAATAGAAAACAGTGAATAGAAGTGGTAAGATATGTTTAGATGTCTGTTAGAAGCATCAGATAAAACAAAATATATTTTGCAAGCTTTAAACATTTATGTTTAATCTAGAACAACCACAAAATATTAATGTGAACAGCTCTTAGCTTAGCTTAGCTTAGCGCTAACAGTATTCCACTAGTAGAAATTAGCATTATTGTAGAGATTTTTTTTTTTCTTATCCTTGTTCCAGAGCTGAAGGCCATTCAGTTTGATCACTAATACATAGATCATAACACTACCGAAACTCAGTAGTTCCTGTTTCGGTAGCAACAATTTTAGCAACAATTTCAGTAGCAACTATTTTATTTTGAGCTCAAAAACTCCAAAATGCCAGCCAGTACAAGACTAGCAAACAGTGCTTTGAGCAGTTGTACACACATAAAATCATCATGTCTTTTATAAAGACACAGAAAAGTTTACTTAATTGCAGAAAATGTGTTTTGGTAGGGATAATTCTTAATGATCTGCACTGATTTTTAGACTTTGGGACACATTCAAAACAATGGGATCTAACTGTTCTTCAAAGGCGTTTCTCCACTGCTTGATACCGGCTCGATTCAACTCAACTCTACTCACCTTTTTTTGGTTTTCCATCACAGAGAAGTTCCTGGTACCTAGTTCCCAATAGTTTTTTGGTACCATATCTGTCAAGATTCCAAGCGAGCTGAGCCGATACCAAAAGGTGCATAAAAATGCTACAGATTACTAATTGGTTGGAGAATCGCTAAACACATATGCTAACATTAGCAACCAAGTTAGAGTAGCCTCTTGCATTGCATTTTTGGAGCAACCAGAATCATCTCATTGTCTGAACTCTGATGTAGTTTAACAAAAAAACTTAAAAAACAAATAGGTGTGCTTTGTAAACTTAATTTTAAACCGTTAGGAATAAAGATTCTGTGCAGGTACATTTTCATTGGTACAAACAATGTTCCCTCAAGGGTACAACAGTGGTTTTAAGGTCCAGTTGTAAACCTTAAATTAGTTTTTCTAGGTGAAAAGTATGTATTTGTACCTTTTCTTAATCGAATGTTGTAAAACAGAACAATAAAATAAAAAGCCTGGAGACGAGACGGGGTGTGGAGTCAATACTGATTAGACAATATAATTTCAGTGGATTAAGGTGCTGACATGTACCCTTGAGGGAACCACCCCAGTGACAGTTTCATCCCGTTTTTCTGAGAGTGTAGAAGTTAAATGAATTAAAAATTATAAACTAACTAGGTGACCTTTTTAAAGTTAAAATCATTTTGTATGTTGTTTATCATTTTGTACAGAGTGCTTTTCCACCTCTGTGTAGGACGACACATGCAAAGAAGAACCTAAACTTATCCTCCAGGTGAAGGTTGTGTCTAAAATGTCAAATATGAGTAGTAAACAGTGGTACCTGACCAGAGCAAACGTACAGGTAGTGGAAAAAGCAGGGCTGTCTGCTGTTAAATATGTTCCGCATGTGAAACATGCTGAGTGTGTGCTTTGACTGGTTATTTCTTTTTCCATGTAGCTTTACCTTTCCATGAAAAGTAACTTTGTTAGATGCCTGTACGTGTCTCTGATTGGCTGGGTTAGTTGGGGTGGAGCTGTGCAGGCTGGCACCATCTTACAAAAGCCCTTGGTGCTCAGTGCTGCTTGACCTGCTCTGTTTTCCTGGCTCTGTTCCACTGTTCTCCTTTGACCATGAAGTTCATCCTTGTGACCATCGTTTTGGCCGTGCTCCTGAGAGACACCTTTGGAGACATCCAGCCTCAGAAAAACTTTGACCTTAAGAAGGTGAGAGAAACATTATTGCAGCTTCATCTGTGTCTTTGGTCACTTCTGCTTCTGCTTCTTCCAGTGTTTTTTAAGGTGCTTTACTAAACACTGTAATATACAATATGTTGGTATTTTACACCAGCTTAAACAACCATATGCAGAAGTCTGAACACCCTTGATCAGATTACATGTTTTGTGAAAATATGTTAACAAACCCTCTACAGAGATCTCAGTTGGCATATTGGAAAAACATAAAACATGAAGTGTGCCATGACTTTTTCACAGCCTATTTTTTCCCCAATATGTTTTAATTAGCAAAAAAACAAAAAAAAACAAAAAAAAAACAGTAATTGAGCATTAAAATGTGCAGAAATGTGTTCTCTACAGGGGATGTGTAACTTCTTTTCACTTAGAAACCCAAATATGCAATTTTACCAGGGGTGCCCAAACTTTTGCATATGACTGTAAGTAGTCAAATGTACAAGATTATTAATTATTTGATATTTCTTTGACTCAGGGTGTATAAAAGCATTTCAAGTGCATTACAATTAAAATATGCCTTAGGAACATGAACTTTTCAATACATACAAATAACAAAGAATTGAAAGAAATAGGGTAATGAAGAAAACCTTTTTTGAGTGAAGCTAAAGTTCCAAGAACCTTTTCCTTCTAAGAACACACAAAAATCCAGAAAATGTTTGTTTTTGCTTCACTAAACTTTATTGGTTCTACATCTCCAGTTCAGGTCCACCTGGAGCATCTCATTGAAAAGTTGAATGATTCATTTAATGGTTAAGTGAGAGATAGATACATACAGTGCTGTGCAAAAGTCAGAGACTACCCTTCATTTATTTAATACCCAGTCAAAACTAGCATTAAGTACAAGTTATTCATTTTCAGGAGATATTTCTGAGAGGATTAGATATAAGATAATTCACTTGCATTAGGAAGGGGGAAGTCAAAGGAAAAGATGTAAAAATACAGAAGTTTTCAAAACTTTCAAAAAATTCAAAAACTGATTAAAAGCTGCAAACAAATTTGGGCTCTGGTGGACACCAAAACTGTCCCCATCAGATAAACAGCAACTAAAACTTTAATCTTTGAGAGAGTGGAGAAAATCGAGCTGCTTCAGATCTGAAAAAATCCACAAGTGTTTCTGTCCATCCTTCCACTGTGAGAAAACAACTCAACGCTATGAGTCTGAAAGGATGTGTAGCTGTCAAGAAGCTCTTACTGAGAAAAGAAAAGAGACAAATAGATGCAGGGTGGCCCGGTGGTCTCTGACTTTTTCATACTGCTTTCCACCTGTATTGTTCCACCTGAGACCAAGAGCGTGTTTTTTGCACTAGGCAAAAGTAGGTAGCTGCCTAGGGCACCAATGAAAACCCAAGTTTAATATCGCTGTTATTGGAGGAAAACCTCGTATCTCCATTTTTGATGTTTTTCAGTTTTTGACATAACTTGAAAATACCTGTTGTTCTTTACATTGTGTGTAAATTTCATGAAAAACGGACCAAAAGAAACAGCCCAAAATGACTCGGGGGGGAAAAAGTCTGGTTCCATTGACTTACATTAAAAGTAAAGTAGGTTTTTTCCTTCTCCTGTAAAGTTATCATTTTGGAGATATGAGGTTTTCTTCTGACAACAGCGATATTCAAACATGTTGATGTTAAATAAAATTTTTTGATACATATATATATATATATATATATATATATATATATATATACATTTTAAAAGTAGCTGTTATTTGTGACTTGGCTATAATTTTAATTTTACTCTAGATAAAAAAATATCATACTTTACATACTCTGTACCAAGTATCCTTATTGGTAGATAATTGTAGTTTCGAGTATATTTCTTAGAACAAGCAAAATGATCTGCTAATATAGTGAAATAATTTCACTTAAGGAGGAAATTATGTAAGTTAAATAATCTTTTATATTTCTTACAGCACTCTGCAAATGAGAAATATTAGATATAGTGGCTAGATTTAAGATAATTTGACTTGCCAAGTTATCATTTTTTTGCAGTGTAGACAAGCGCATCACTAGTTTAAAAAATGTACCTTCGGAGGGCCCCATTGCTGTCTTTAGAGCCCCAGGATCACTAAATCACTGAAAGAAATAATAGTAGTTCAAAAACCTGTTCCAAAAACAAGAAGTTCTCATTTTCTCTACTGAGTGCACCAAAAACAGAGAGAAGCATTTTTGAGTGAGGCGGAAGTTATGAGAAACTTTGCTTCAAAGTAAAGTAATTCCAGAAAGCTTTGCAGTAGGTACTGTCCTAAAAGAGATTAAATGATTTCACTGTAATGGTATCAAGAACACAGATCTGGCATAACGGCAAGGTTCAAACCATCTAGTCTGTCATTCAGTGGGTAATAAATGTGGGTCATTTTAGAGACTCACACAGTTTTATTGTATCACTTCTGCTTCTTGAGAACATTCTTCAGAAAGCACAGATACTCTGTTTAAACAGTCAGATCCTTTATTTACAGTTGCTACATAATCAACTTTAAAGAACAGTCAAAGTGCTGACAAAGCAAACGAAAGGGAACGAACATTTTAATGACTTCCCAACAGTCACAAACAGGTATGGCACACCTGTGTAATGTTTGGGTTTGTTGGGATGGTCTGCTCTGTTATTTTTTTGTTTGTTTGTTTGTTTGTTTGTTGTTTGCTGTTGTTGATGGAAACACCTGAGTCTGGAGTAGGATATCCAGTTTTTGCTGATTCTTCATGAATGTGGTTTCAATGTGTGGGTTAACTGGTTTGAAATATAATGAAGACAACAATATTTGTGTGAAACCTCAACGGGGACTGCTGTGTTGCAATTATCTATGATGACCTCCAATTTTCCTCACCACATGTTTGGTAAGATTCTATCTTCAGCCTGGCAACATTAAAATTCAACAGCAGTTGCAGCACAAAAAGAGTTGAACAGCCCTCGTGTTAAGGATCAGTCTAGCTGTAGTTTTGCAATAAAGAGATGATGGTTTTTGCCCTCTGTTCCTCTGGCCCAGACAGACTTAAGGCCAGTTAGATAGCATGGGCCATATGGTCAAGGTTGAAAATTAGGTGAGAAAAGGTTGGGATTACAGGAGCATCTTCATTTTGGTTCTGTTTGTTTTTTGGCTCACTAAACCATCATCATAGGTTCTACATCTTCTACATCTCCTGGACAGATGTCCAGTTTCAGTCTCCTTTTTCTAGTTTTTGTATTTTATTTTCTCAGTCATGGCTTATTGGGAGCTACAAATCAAGCATTATTTAGGTTAGCCTGAAGATACAAGATGCTTCCCTCTAAGAATATTAGACAAAGCATTTCAGAAAGCTGTACAGTAGATATAACTCCAAAAAAGATGACATTTTTATCATAGCAGTGACAAAAGAGCAATCTGGCATAATAGCACGGTTAAAACAGCTACACTATATAGACAAAAGTATTGGGACACCTGCACATCACACCTGCAGGAGCTTTTATGATATCCCATTCTAAATCCATAGGCATTATTATGGAGTTGGTCCCCCTTTGCAGCTATAACAGCTTCCTCTCTTCTGGGAATCACAATCTCTGTTCTAGTTCATCCCAAAGGTGTTAGATGGGGTTGAGGTCAGACCTCTGTGTGTGCCAGTAAAGTTCTTCCACACCAAACCCACCCAGTCATGCCTTTATGGACCTTCCTTTGTGTACTGGGGCACAGGAACAGAAAAGGGCCTTCCCCAAACTGTTCCCACAAAGTTGGAAGCATACAGTTGTCCAAAATGTCTTGGTTTGCTGAAGCATTAAGGTTTCCCTTCACTGGAACTAAGGGGTCGAGGCCAACCCCTGAAAAACAACCCCACAGCATTATCCCTCCTCCACCAAACTTTACAGTTGGCACACTGCAGTCAGGCAGGTAACGTTCTCCTGGCATTCACCAAACCCAGACTCGTCCATCAGAGTGACAGATAGAGAAGCGTGATTCATCACTCGACTGAATACGTTTCCACTGCTCCAGAGTCCAGTGGCAGCATGTTTTACGCCACTCCATCCGACGTTTGGCATTGTGCTTAGTGATGTAAGGTTTGCATGCAGCTGCTAAGCCAAGGACACAGATGTCATGAAGCTCCAGACATTTCTGTGCTGATGTTTGAAAGGAGGTTTGGAACCTTGGAGTTATTGAGTCAGCAGAGCGTTGGAGACTTTTATGTATGTGTCTCAGCGCTCGGTGACCTGCTCTGTAACCTTATGTGGTCTACACTTCTTGTTGCTGTGGTTCCTAAACACTTCCACTTTCAGTAATACCACTCACAGTTGATCGTGGAATATCTAGGAGGGAAGAAATTTCATGACCTGACTTGCACTGGTGACTTCGTATTACAGTACCACACTCAAACTCAGTGAGCTCTGTAAAATGTCTTATTCTTTCACAAATGCTTGTAAAGGCAGACTGCATGACTAGGCGCTTGATTGTATACATCTGTGGCAATGAGACTGAATGAAACACCTGAATTCAGTAATAAAGAGGTGTGTCCAATACTTTTGTCCATATAGTGTATTTAACCCTGTAATTCACTGGGTAACAATGGGGTCCCCAGTACTGCAATAGAGAACCTCACTGTTCTAGAGTCTTCTAAGATGTTGTAGAGTCAACAAAATGTTGTCCTGGTGTTCTTTTTCTCCATAATTTGTGTATGTGCATGTTTGTATCCAGTTTGCAGGAAAGTGGTACCGTGTCGGTCTGGCTGATGACTCCCCGAGCTTTGCTCTGTTCCGACACAAGCTCACAATCAATATGGGAATAGTGGAACCTAAAGACAACGGTGATGTCAATATGACCATGTGGAGAATGATGTAAGTGGTATTGTATGTTTTTGACAGTTTCTCCCTGAACACATGGGCCTAATTGATTGTATTATATTACCTAATAATAAGTCGTAATTTAAGATTAATAAGTGAATAATAAGTCTGCAGTTTGAGGTTAACTTTCATAACCAAACATTATACACTTAAAAGACTGTAGTTAAAAGAACAATTTGGTGAAAAATCTCATTTTCACAATTTTTCACTTAGCCTAGATCAGCTACACTCTTAAAAAGATGGTTCTTCAAGGATGCATGATTAAAGGGTTCTTTGCATCATGAAAGAGTTCTTCAGATTGATGGAGAATCTGTTGTATGTGATTCTACTTTTTGAAAAAGGTTCTATATAGTATATAGTAAAAGGGTTCTTCTATTGTTATGATGTCAAGCTTGTAACAGTAGAAGAACCCTTTTTGGTGCTATATAGAGCCATTTTCAAAATGCTTCTGTATAGAACCATCTTAAGCAGATTCTCCATCAATCTGAAGAACCGTTTCATGATGCAAAAATGCTTCAGTCTTGCAAAGGGTTCTTTAGTGTTCATGGTTCTATATAGAACCATTTTCTTCACTAAAGAACCCTTGAAGAACCATCTTTTTTGTGTGTAAGATGTGTGTGGTCTCCGAATTTTTCTTCTTTAGTTTACCGCTGGAGCTGCAAGGCTAATGTTGCTAACACACAGTAGAAGTCAATAGTCACCCAAATTTTTACTGTAAATACATCCCCAAAACTTTCTCAATCTTCTCAAACCACATCCTGGTCTTCTTTTAGGTAGTGCAGACTTGTTGATGTAGTTTAGGACACAGTATGACATACTGTGAACTGCAAAAATGAATAAAACTGTGTAGATAAACACAGGCGCAACAGGTGAATTCTGTCTTCTCTTTGGATGTGAGGACAGCTGTTGTCTAAACTGGCTGACCACTGCATTCAGCTACACAGTTTCACATCAACAACTCTGCAAAACCTTAATTAAGATCTGGAATGGGGTTGACAGAAGTTTTGGAGACATATTTACAGAAAAGATTTGGGTGACTATTGACATATAATGTCAGCCTTTCAGCTTCAGCGGTAAACTAAAAAAGCAAAACAAGTCTAGGTTGATCAACCATTTCTGGGGTAAGTGTAAAATTGTGCAAATTAAATTTTTTTCACCAAATCCTTCCCTTAAAGGTTTTTCTGTTACAGTGTTTTTTGTGCTGCTGGCTATACTTTGTGTGGTGGATGTGTATAAACATTTGTTCCTGTGTCTGTCAGCAGATCCACAGGCTGCAAGAGCAAAATGCACACATATATGAGGACTGCTGTGCCTGGAGTGTTCACGTACTTCAGCACACGTTAGTATTATGCCTTTTTTAGTGGCCTTAGGAATGAGACCTGTTGAACCTCAAAAGAACAGAAAAGTGACTAGCATCTAGGGTTCAGTTTCCAGCTAAGACTGTTAAGATTACTCTTCACTTAACTAATTATTGAATAAAAATCTATTTTTTATAACTGAAGGGAAGACTGTCTGTAACCCAAATCTTCTGATATGATTTTATTGCAGGTCACAATATAGTGAAGGATGTCACAATAGTGGAGACTAACTATACGGAGTATGCTTTGCTTTTCAAGTACAAGAAGTTCAATAGGGAGTATACTCAAGTGTCTCTGTACGGTAAGCTAAGAATTTACAGTGTGGATGTATAAAGTACAGATATAAATGTGTATGTCTCATAAGGGTATGTGGATTTTTAGGTGGACATGAAGGCTGCATGTATTTGTGTGGGGGTCAAAGTGAATGCACTATACGATCTCAGTGCAAACTTTACCTAGGCACCACACAATTGTGCCGTAATCTGTTGCAATTACACTTTTTATTTCTAAACTTCATATTTTTTTATTTTGTAATTTTTCTACATAAGAAAATATTAACATCTACAAATATGCCCCTTTCCTCAGGAAAATAAATGTATTGTACCTTTAAAATCCATTTAAGGTACACAATTGGACTTAAAGGACCATGGTGTACCTTTGAGAGTACATTTACACTGTTTGTACCTTGAGGGCCTAAAATGTACCTTTTTTCTGACAATGTAACGCCTTTGATCTCCTTCTAGGTCGTACCCAGACGTTGAGACCCGAGCTGATTGAGAAGTTCAAAAAGTATGCCATGCAGCAGGGTTTCCCTGAAAGGTCCATTTTGACCCCATCACCACCTGCAGGTAAGTGATCAAATACGTGTTACATCAGTAATGTTAAACATTAGGCCTACTTTGTACGTATAAATGCATTAATGCAATAAATTCTACTACTTTAACTCTCCTTCTTGCCTTTTCTTAGACAACTGCCCTCCTTCAGGACAGTAGGTGAGTAGACACTGTTTTCATGCCCGCATAGACACCTATTTACAAGATTCTCACAATAGTAAAGAGGTAATGGAACAAAGAGTGTGGGAATTTTAAAGATTTGGTATTAATGTTAATGCAGAAGTAGCTGGATAGAGATGAATTTTGGGGGCAACAGTAGCAGCAGTGCTGAACAGATATGGATCATTCTACCAAATTGGTTCAAGGGCAGAGTTGAAAACACATTTCAGTCTTTTAAGTTACTGGTACTTTACACTAAATTCCTTTTAATTTGAGTGACCCTCTGCCTTAATTTTGTTGATATTATTAAAACACATGATTGAACATTCCATGTTGTCTCTGCCAAGTCAGTGAAAATACTACCAAAACTTCATCAAATGTTTCAGTAGTGAACTTAAAAACACTAGCCAGTACATGACTAGCAAACACAGCTTTGCACAGTTGTACACACATAAAATCATAATATATTTTCATTAAAACACAGAAAAGTTGACTTAATTGCAGAAAAAATGTTTCAGTAGTGACAATTCTTAATGTTTCACATTGATTTTCAGACTTTGGGACACATTTACTTCAAAACAATGGGTTCTAACTGCTCACCATGTGGCCATGAGGGACAGGGATGCAGTCTCACTTCCTGCTTTAAAATGCAGGGACATGGCTAAAACAAGGCTCTGCCTACAGACTAAAACTCGTTGTCTTTCAATAGTGATGGTACAGCACTATTTTTTTTTTTTTTAAGAATAATGTCATGATAAATCTAAATCTTTCAAATTCACTTTAAAAGAAATCAGATCTTTTTAAAAACAACAATGAAATATAATTTCATGAGTGTAAATTTAGGGGTTAGGGTTTGGGACAGACACTTCCCAATAGAAAATGCCCTGTAAATGATGATTTTGTATACATTTATTTTGTTACTTGTATCTTCATTAATGCCATGGGTTTAAATAGATCATAACATAACCCTTGTAAATATCTAAAATCTGAATACTTAGTATTTTTTATATTTTTAATTTCATAAAATATTTTAATTTTTTTTTTTTACTATAGGACCATAATTTGACCCAATTAGGTAGAATGGTCCATACAGCAGGTGTGCAAAATAATGGAAAAAGCACATGAAGTGCTCATATTTACTGGCCGTTTTATCAGGAACACCTACCATATAGGTGCACTTTGTAGGTTTACAGTTACTGACTGCAGCCCATCTGTTACTGCACAATATATCAGCCACCCTCTACACAGTTCATAAATGGATTAGGACCACCATCGGACCACCACTGACCAGACATTATTTGGGCAGTGGACCATTTTCAGCACTGCAGTAAAACTGACATGGTAAAGGCCTGGTAGTGTGTATTGTGCTGGAAATTTTATCCCATTCTACAGGCCCCCTAGTGGCCATTCTGCCAGCAGAAGGTAATCTGCCCCGGATAGTTTCCATAAATATAAATAATAAATAAATAAATAATAAAATAATAAAATACCCCCCCCAATTCTGTTACCAGTTTACTGTTGGTTCTCTGCATGTGTGAAATGCTGCTAATGAGCAATGAAGAGTGAAAAGGGAGGAGTGAGAACCTCCTGCTGTGAAAACAATTCTCCACAAAGGTGGCCATGCCAAGTTAAAACTGACACAACTGCAGCTTTCTCTATATCACATAATTGTGTACAACTGCCACAATAAAATAGTATTTAAACAAATAATAAACAATTTTATAAATGTTAACTTACTTGCTCACTTAAAAAGCTGAAAATGCACTTCACTTCCAGTTTTGTAAATCATACAAATAAATTCCATCAGCATTAATGAAGAAAAATAAATATTGCATAGTTCAACTAAGGGACCTCTAAAACAATGGGGACATTGCATTTTATGGCTGATGTGAAAATTCTGTGCAATGTCGGTGTTGTGTTTGAAATAGTCTGCCAAGCAAAAATATCCAGCCAACTGCATACTGTGGCCAGCAACTGACCATGATGAAGGTCCAGAGGATAACTGACAAAATTGTGCATGAAAAAATATGAGCCACCGTCTCTAACTGTACCACTACAAAGGTAGATGTGTTTAATAGAATAGTGGACACAGTTTAATAATTCCAGAAACAATGCTATGCCTAATACAGGCGTAGCAATACAACACTCACTAGAAAGCCACTACTGTGTCAGTGTGACTCCTGTGCTGAGAATGGCCCACCAAACAAATAATATCTGGTCAGCAGTGGTTCTATGGTGGTCCCTTTCCACCGGTGGTCACGGTAGAGGGGAACTATAATCTTAGAACTATTTATCTTAGCAACAGATGAGCTATAGTCAGTAAACTGCACCTATATAGTGGGTGTTTCTGATAAAATGGCCAATGAATATGAGTATTTTATGTGGTGTTTCTGGTTTAGTTCTGTTACATATTTACAAAAATACCCAAGGCAAAAACATGACAAAGTGCAGCAAACAATAACAAAACAGAAGCATTTATATTTACAGTTGTTAAAAAAACATGTATAACCAAAAATATGAAAAAAATAATGAACACAAATGACATAATATTTATGCTTCACTTTTTTCCAGGGTCTGCTCTCTTTGGGGCAACATGATGGTGCAGTGCATCATGAGCCAGCAAACATCTACATGTTCTTTACTGAATAAGCTAAATAACCTGGAAGAACTCCACAGTATGAAACTTCACTGATAGCCTGCATCGCTGTCTTAGATTTAACTCAGCTGCTAAATTGTCTTATTAATCGCTAGTAACTTTTGCTAATGAAAATGTAGAAAAATACAGTTTGATTTCTCTTCTGAGCAGCCTGCTTGTATATGTTTCTCTTTGTGTGTGACTGTGTCTGTGTGTGTGTGTGTATGTGTGTGTGTGTGTGTGAAAGAAAATAAGTAGCACATCCTCTACAGATACACACTTCTGCACATTTTAATACACAATTACTGTTCATTAGCTGAGTGGAGTAGAAACATGCATTACCTGAAGAAAATGCAGAATGATTGCACAGCTTAAAGCTAGCTAAGATGTTGCTATGTGGTTGCTGTGGTATCCCAAGTGGTTGCTGGGTGGTTGCTCTGGCATCCTAAATGGTTGATAATGTGTTGCTTTGTGATTACTATGGTATCCCAGGTATTTGCTAGTGTGTTGCTAGGCAGTTGCTAAGGTATCCCATGTGGTTGCTACAGGGTTGCTAAGTGGTTGCTCCTATTTGCTTTGGTATTCGACATGGTTAATAGGGTGTTCCTAACAGATTTGTCATCATGGTAATATAAGCTGGCGGCACAAAGTTTTGCATCCCATTCATTCCTCCAGGCAAAAATATTATCATTTAACAATGACTGTGTGAAAACCATATGATCCGACACCATTCCTGAATTCCTGATCAGACCAAACATTCCGGAGCTCGTACGGGGTCATTATCATGAAAACTGTGGGATGAATTAGCGGTCAATATATTGGTGTGTGTATATATATATATATATATATATATATATATATATATATATATATATATCAGGTAACAAAAGTGTTGTGTATTGCTTTGCAATGTGCAATCACTAATAATAATAGTAATGATAAGAAGAAGAAGAAAAAGAAGAAGAATACCAATAGGTCAAAGTACTGCCTGCAAAGTAAATCACATGTTTACAGAAGTATAATCTGAACTTGAAGCAGTAGTAATATTTAATATTTCAAACTGTAGTCAATAAAGACAGAGAAAAATGAGAGAAATATGAAGTACAAAAATTATCCATTTAAAACGTGCCGAAATGATTTCAGGGCGTATCTGTCCTTTTCAACAATTTTCAGTTTATTTCTGACAAGTGGTGACACTAAAAATCATGATCATTTTTGTTCACTTACATTATGACAGGAAATGTTCTTACCTAGAACAGACTTCAGCGAAAACCTGCTGTTTTCCTTTGTCATGCACGTTCCAGGAAATCTAGGTCTTTACCACTCACGCAGATCATTTGAGCTTTCCAAAGATTTTCATATTCTGTAGATACAATAAACTCAATTGGCTACTGCTGCAAAACCGCCTTATTTGGCTATAGATTCCATCCATCACCCTTCTACTAGATTTAGATTTATTTGGAACATGTTGAGCTTAAAACTCATTTTCTTCAAATAAACAGCCAAATAAGGCACAGAAAAGACGAGTCAATAGAGAGATAAGGAGACCTTTGCTCTGTTTGGTGGCTTCAACTCATTTTGGATGGTGTTTTCTGTGGGGCCACAGCACACATACCCCACAGGTCGATGTCCTCTGAGAAAAGAGGAGGAAAGTGTTGGTTCTCTTTTCTGACTGAGACAGACTGGAGACTCAGTGCGATCAAAGGCAGCAGAAATGAAGATTGTGCTGGTGTTTCTCCTGCTGGGCTTTGTGGCTCTGCTACAGGCCAATCCACTGCCCTCACAACCGGTCCTCCAAACCCAGGAGAACTTCGACCTCAACCGGGTAAATACCTGTATATATATATAAAATGAATGAATATCTCTATATGAACACCATAGGAATAATAATAATAATAATAATAATAATAATAAAAACAACAACAATAATAAAACAAATACTACTGCTACTATTACCAGTCACTAATAATACTACTCTACTATTAATAATAGAGTTTGGGCAGCTTTATTTTAAGACTGTGCCCAAAACTAAACTAAACCAAAAAGGAATGAAATAAAAAAAAACACTTTAAAAGAATCAAACAAGCAGTACACTAAATAAAACATAGAATACATGATTACATATGAAAATACAACAAAGAACAATATAAAAATAACATGTTTTCAAATAAATGTACTTTTCTGATAAATATTAATGGGTAATTAACTCAAACTGCAGGCTTATAATTCATTTTGTTATGTTTTATTCAGCGACTACTATAAAGCTAACATTTACCCTCTATTGTACAATGTTGCGTCAGGGCAACAAACTCATTTTCTTCACTTTACAATAACATTATACATATTTAAAGACAACAATAGGGTTAACACTAAAGGCAAGAGTTTGGGTAAGTCAATAAAAAGCATGTACTTGGTTATACTATCTCTTAGTGGGCACATTTAAAGCTCTTATGAGAATTTGAAGAAATACGTTTATTGCCTAGAAACAACATTGTGTAACAGTGGATTTAGCCAGTCACAAGCCAGGGAACATGGTTCTATATCATTTCTTCCCATTCTCACCCAATGTTACCTCAAAGCCACAAACTCCAAAGGACCCCTGCACACAGTTTTTTTCTTAATGTTTTTTAATTTAATAATTGGGCCTGAAAAAAAAATCAAGGACCAACTGATGCAAGAAAAGTGAATGAATATTGTTATTTTAAATTGCTCTCATAATGCATAACAGTATAAAGGGCTAACAGTGTATGTGGTGATTTAACTTGAGGAACGTTTCTTATTATAAACATCTGTACATTCTAAAGAAATACTAAGACAAAACTGATAGGTCTAATAAATCATTTGAATAAACAGATAGTATAACATTGTAATATATTACATTATATTATATTATATTAGGCAATGCAGCATAAACATATTTATATGATCAAATGACATATTGTGTGAAATAAATGAAAATAAATTCACACTTCCTCTACAGAGAACACAAATATGGCATTTTTCTGCAAATTTAGTACACATTTTCTATTTATTTGCTAAGTGTACCATAAGAATAAAAAAAATAAAACAGAAATTGTGCCATCGTTTTTGCACAGGCCACATTTTGTGTTTTTTTCAGTATGTTAAGCACAGCAAATAAACACTAACTGTGCAAAAGTGTGTTCTCTGTGGAGGACGTGAACTTGTTTTTTCTTAGAAAATCAACATGTCATTTGACCAGGAGTGTTCAAACTGAAGACTGTTTATAGCTGAATATCAAGAGGGATTCACTGAGGCTTGAAAGCCAGTGGCCAAAACAAGAGCTTGTGTCTTTTAGTGATTCAGCAGTTACACAAATGATCCATTTTTGAAGTGTATGAGTCTTTCTGCAATTATCAAGTCAAATGACTGTCCTTCAAAATGAGTCATTGTATGAGAGGGACAGTTAACTGACAACCCAATTAAACTGCCAAAATGAACACATCCCTCTGTCCCCTATGAGGACAGTCTAGATGTCAGATCGCTGTGTGTTAATCAATAGCTGCTCTTTTCCCCACCAGTGACCAGTGGAATGTAAATAGCACAAACTCTTATCTCTCGATCAAAGAGCGGACTATGTTTGCACACATATGACTATTACACAACATATGAGCTGTTACTTTAGTAATGAATTTGATTTTGTTTTGCAGAAAGCTTTCCTATTTATTTGTCACTTCAAATGGCCCATATGATAGGAAGAAATCCTTGCTTTTTTAAATGAAAGAGTTTGATGTAGTATGTAAACATTGTTAAAATTTCAAAATGTACAGGACTACAATTCTGCATATACAATATATATATATATATATATATATATATATATATATATATATATATATATATATATATATATATATATATATAGAAACAGCCCAACCTGACTTCATTCTTTTTGGGATTTTTGCCTGTTCATATATCAGTCTTGAAGTCATAGTAACAAAAACAGCCTTTTTAAGAGATAAAGAGAGGTTGGAAAATGGCCCTGTAAAAAATTTATTGTGACTGTTTTGGTACATAAACACACAAAAGTGCAAGAGCAAGAGAAATGTAGGATATGGGCTCTTTAATTTTGGCTTAACTGAAGTGATATTAAGCTTTGACATTTGAAAGCTTTCCAAACTGTCATTTTTGCCCTAACCCCCCAGTAGAAAATGTAAACATTACAATACATTCTTTTTAGATTTTATAACATATAAGCTGCAATATATTGGTCCCACTTTATATTAAGTGTCAGTAATAACTATGTAGTTACACATTAACAATGCATGCAACAACGGTGGTGTAGTCACTGTGCTGTCAAGTCAATTTTGACTCCTGGCACCATTACGGACAGTGTTTCTCCAGAGTATCCTGTCTTCTGTCTGGGTCTTCAGACTTCTGAAAGACTGATTCATGATGTCTCAGTTTGTATCCATCCATCTTGGTTGTGCTCTTCTTTATTTATCGTCATCTGTTCCAAGCCTGACCATCTTATAATGAATTGGTTCTTCTCATAATACCTCCAAAATAGGTTATTCATTGTTACAGATGGATTACAGTAGTACAGCATTATGTAAATACACACGTGTATCAAGTCCAATTTTTACTCATGTAACTCGTGTCTTGATAGCTGTAATAGCATATTTTCTCTTAGCTGATTTTCCAGCAAAACTTTTCTGATTGTAACAGATGATGTGTGATTAAGTACATTATGAGAGTACTTACACTGCATGCACAGGAAACGCCAACTTCCCTGACATTTAGCTGGCTGTAGTAGTATGCATGTGTTTTGACATAGTAACCTGACCAAAGTTCTGGTTTCAGTCATTGTGTAATGTGATGGTATATACAAAGCAGCAGATGTTCATTTTCCTTTAAACTGTGTATCTTTATGTGGGTACCATGAAATTGGTAATCCATGTGATTCAACCAGGTTACTATGTTACAACACAAACACTCCACAGTAACTATGTAAAAGTTACACTTTAAAATAAGCAGACAGCTCCTGTGCAGTTAGTTATGTGGGTACACTGATATTACAGATTGATAATCCAGACATTGTTTTGAAGTAGTAAAATACAGCGCACATTTTAAATCATTACATAAAAATTACTGTCACATCTGCTGCTGACAACACTCACTATCGCCGGTATACTAGATCAGATCATGCCCCTGAGTTTAATGAGAAGCGATTTTTTTTCAGTTACACATCTTGTGAAGTCTTGTTTGGTTATCCTCCTTGCAATTCTGAGCCGCGTTCTCTTATAGCCTTTTTGTTTTCTTGGACTCTGTATATGGCTTTAATATAAAGTGGGACCCAATATATTTAATAATTATATGGATGTACTAGTGCATGCACAGGCACACAGACGCACACACACACACACACACACACACACACACACACACACACACACACACACTAACTGTCGTGTTGGTTGGTGTTGCTTCAGTTTTTGGGGAAGTGGTATGACATCGCCTCAGCCTCTAACTGTCCATGGAGGAAGAAGCATAAAGGAGATTCTCCTATTGGCTCTCTGGAGCTGAAGCGCAGCGACTCACCAAAAGCTCTCAGCATGAAGAGAATCATGTCCAGGTAAACCTCTCTCTCTCTCTCTGTCTGTCTCTCTCTCTCTCTTTCTGTCTCTCACTCTGTCTCTCACCACAAATACACGTTAATTGTTTTATACATACGCCACCAATGCATTATGTGTGAACTACAGTGTATGTAGGATCACGTGTAACGGCCCCCACCCACCCCAATCTTATTACTTTACATGAATGAAAGAATGAAAAGAAACCTTTACTTAATTTATTCTCATGGGGAAAAAAGTTGAATAAATGCTAAGATAAAAATAATCAACAATAGTTAACTATATACAAGGGGAATAGAATCTTTAAACTACTCAACTGGCTGTGTAAAAAAAATACAAATAAAATAAAGTAAACATAAAGACATATAGCCATCAATTATGTCATCATAAGACATTTTTTCTGCCAATATCATGATGGACACAAATAATGAAAAAAAGAAAAAATATTCAGGGACCCCCTGTGGCTTTGTGACCTTAAGCAGCTGAATGTATCGCTCATAGCAAGAAACAATCCTGTTTGCAAGTGTTTCATAGCTTTCAGAAGAAATATGGCTTTTCAAAAAGTTTTATTTCAGACTTTTATAACCTAAGAATAGCTCAACCAGCATGCCCTGAAGTCCCTGTAGATACTGAATAATAAGACTTAGTGTGTAATAAGCCTGAGATTTTAAGGGATAAATACATGAGTATGTAGAAGCCCTCCCTTAGGAATAAAGTCAAACTCTACACATTGTACCCCCTTGTTGTGAGGTCAACATTCATCAGCACTAACACCTTCAGGTGTTTAAACCACTTTTAGGACAAAAGAGTTGACTGTGAAGCTAAGATTTGAAGCTAAATATACCTAGAAAGCATTTATTCTTACTTAACTGAAAAAACAGGCAGTGTAAACCCCTCACAGCAATGCTCAACAGACCTGTAGGGCATTTTAA